CTTGGGCCTAAAGGCAACACAGATGCTAAGGACTCGTAATTCGAGAGAATCTGTAGGATAGTGACTCCAGATGATTTTGGAACTCGCCAAAGTGTTTTGTAAGGTAGGGTCTTGATAGTGGCGGGATATCGGAACGCATCATATTGACTGAGGGTGTCTTTCAGGATTGTTTGGAGAGAAGGAAAGGCAATAATGTGTGGGTCCTCGACTAGTACCTCAACATCGGGTTGAATGACAGATGTACCGAGATCATCTTCGTCTTCGTCTCGTATAACAGCGTCGGCTTCTGATTCCATTAGCTCCTCTAGTTGAGAGTGCATCCAGTTGGTGGTTTCGTGCTGAGAAGCCCTTAGGGCAATCAGCTTAAACCAAGGCGTCTCAGGTTCGTAAAGGATCTCAAAGATTCCCTAATGGCAAGAGCAAAAGAAAGATGTGTTAGTAGAAGTCTTGGGGAGACTTTGAATACTTACAAGGTCCTTTCTTTCCTCGACACGCGCAAATATCAGCGCCACTCCTTTAGGGAGTAACGGAGGGTTACAAGATACGTAGAACTCTACAATATCCATGGCTGTGACAAGAAGGTACTGGATGAATAGTGAATAAGCGGTTTTTGTATCTGTACTGATAGGTATACTCACATCGCAAGGTGTGATTGAGGAATTGAGGAAGATTGCTAAACACTTCAACGAAGATGACAACGCTGACACATTTAGCCAACCGGCAAAGAACAGAGGGATATCTTGGTTCAAATACCCAACTAACAGAATAGCGATAGAGCACGTGTAAAGAGAAGAAAGTTGTTTTAAAGACGCAGTGGCATGGACAATGTTTTACGAAGAGAAGGCAGATAGGAAGGAAGGTTGTTGCGAAAAACCATCCATGCCAAGGTGAAGAACTGGAAGGTAGGTTGGTGGAGGAAGAAGAAGAAGAAGAAGAAGAAGAAGAAGAAGAAGAAGAAGAAGAAGAAGAGAGAAATTTAGAGATCAAGAGATCTGCTTGATATAGGTAGGTAGGCGCCTGCCTAAACAAACAGGAATAAAAGGAGGAAGCTGCCACCACTGCAGTCTCCCGCTACCTAAGCGGCAAGCAGCAGCTTCCATTGGCAAAGGCAGGTGCCAACAGTGCCACTGCCTTTCTTTTACCTTGCCGAAGAGAACAGCCCTCCGTGATTCACTGCCATGAAATACATCCCTCCTTGTCGGGTGGCGAGAGGCAGAAAGAATGACTGACACTGCGAGCACTGCATCATGAAAGTAACGTGCTCTGGAAGTGAGAAGAATACCTAAAGCCTGCAATTCATAAGCAGCGACAAGGAAGCTGACTACTAATGGATGTACACCTTAGGATCTGAATTCTTCTTAGAGGAGGCTTAAAAGGGCCTGTCAAGCAACGTACCTTGGTAGTTACATATAGAAAATGAGCAAGGAAGCATAAAGTATCGCCCTAGCTTGATGCATCACAAACATCAGTAAACAAAAGATTCAAGTAAGTGGGATTGTCTCATGACTAAGATAGGCACTCTATAGAGATCCCAATTCATATACCGGTTTGTTTTCCTTTCCCTGCCCACAGGTTATTCTACCTGGTATGACAATATATCTATATCCAAACATATCACCATCTCTCAATCGCGAGGCATCCATCAAGCCTCGGCACAGCACAAAAAGAACCCCAAACACCTATAACACCTCGGCACGTCCTTTCCCAGTGTTATGTAAGTAACCGAGACGGGTTACACAGACAAATTCAAATTCAGCATAGATTTCCAGGCCATGTAATGTGTCTAAAGAGCAGAAGAGCAGAGTATACTAGGAGTGGTATCGAGGTAACGATGGTCATCAGGTATTCGTAGACGTAGAGTCAAGAAGCTGTTTAGAGCTTCGGGAAAGAAACTGGGCCCAACGAGTCGACTTGTCGAGAAGAGGCAGGTGATCCGATCAAATCGCACATGCAGGGAGATGTAGCTTGCCAAATAAGTGAGTTGGGGACACCACAATTTGTTTGATGGGTGGCAGCGCAACAAGATTAGCTATTCTTATTGCGCACCTTTGACGTTTTCTTTCACATTCAGCGCCCATCTCAGCTTGTTGAGAGTTTCCCTAGAAGCTTCTAGCAAAGCCTCTTGCTCATCTTCTCGCTTTCTGGCGTTGGTCTTGATATCTTTGAGCCCTTGTTCTTGGCTCTGTTTGTATTCCTCAAACATACGAGCAATCTCTTCCTTTTCGTGTCGAAGTTGCTTGATGTTGCTATCTTGCTGGTCGCACAGATCTCTAAGTGTTTGTATTTTGTCGTCGTCTGCTCGTCGCTCCTCATTGAGTTGGTCGATCTCCGATTTCATTTTGGAGACGGCTCGTTTGACTTCTTCTCCTTGGTCCTGCCAGTGGGACGAGATGGCATTATAGCGACCCTCCATCAACTGCGCATAGCTAGTTGCTTCTTCGACTTGGGTCGTTGCATCTTTCCTCGTCTTGTCCATCTCCTCCCTCCAGCTCTTTTCCCGTTGGAGAGCATCTACAGCCTTCTTCTTCTCCAGTTCGACGGTTGTTTGCAATGTCTCCACCTGGCGTTCTTTTCGAGCCAGCAGTGTCTTAGTAACATTGGCCTCGAGTAGTCGGCTCTCATAATCGTTGACCATGCGCTCGAGCTTGTCCTCAACCAGCTTGGCCGCTTGCTTGGCCTCGTCTGCTTTGAGACGCTCAATCTTTATGTCGCGCTTCAGAGCTTCGTTGTCGCTGACAAGTTTGTTTATCACGCGGCCGGTCTTTCCCAGACCGGCTTTGCCTATTGTCGAGTCCCATTGACTGTCTGGCGCTTCAACGTTTTCTGACATGGCGGAATTATCTGGATCTGGAGTAGGCTCAACCACGCGCGCAGCACCAGTGCTCCAGCGCGACGGTGTCGCTGTATATGTGTCGTGTTCGGTCTTGGATTTGAGGTGCGTCTGGTTGTGGAAGTTGGAATCGGAGTTGGAGTTGGACAGGGCGCTTGTGGTACTGTTCATACTACTGGAGAAATTGCTGTATTTGCTTTCGGGGCTAGACTCGGAGCCCTCAAAACTCCGCACGCTTCTGATTGTGCTGGACCTGGCGACGGCCGGTTTATAGGAGGCAGGGCTCCTGGCTTTCATGCTGTTGATGGCGCCGGTGGAGGCGGGAGTCAAGGTCTTTTCCTCGTCCAAAGGAGTAGCATGTGGTTCGGTGGATTTCCTTGCGACTGTGGCGGCGGCTGAACAAGAATAGGCTGGTGTTAGCTAGTAGCTGCTTCATCGAAGTGGTAATGCAGTGAAGATTAGAAAACGAAATAGAAAAGTCGCTAGTGTGGAAAAGAGAACAAGGCTGACGTGAGGAGCCCAGTCACGTCAGATCAAGCCAGACAGACTTGACGAGACGAGCAGGAGACAGGAGACAGGATGGGACGGGACGACATTTGTACAGTTGCGCTTTAGTTGAAGGTGTGGGGAGCTGTTTCAAGTGGATAATGAGGCGTTGACGGGTAGTAGTTGTTAAAGAAGTGCAAAGAAAGCAGGTAATGTGAGGATATCTAACAAAGCATGGACAGGACCAATCTCAGCTCACGCGTTGAACATACCGTTGACTGTGTCTTTGTGAATAGAGAAATCCTTTTTGAGAAGACGATTTCGCATTGCAACGACTGATGAATTGACTTTAGTTCATGTGTTAAAGCAGTGTGATCCTTTTGCGTTCAAGTATTGGTTGGTTGGTCAATGCTGCAGACAAAAAGGAGTAACTTATCAGCAGCAAGGCAACAGAACAAATACAAGGCAGCGTGAAAGAAAGTAGAGGAGAAAATGAGGCAAGGCTCTTGCTGTAATGTTAAGGATAAATGACTGCATAAGCAATGTGAACACAGACGTAAATTAACACACACTAATAACAACGGGGGACAAGGGTTTCCTTTCTTTGTTTTTGTTCGCAAGGGAAGACTTGCTGGGGGTTTCTGATCTTCAATCAGTACGTACCGTGATAGTGTTGGCTCCCGCTGGCTCCCGTCTGGTCCCCGTTTGTGCCGTTACAGTACGGACTAGGAAAGTTACCTTATTAGTACCGTTGAGATACAGTGGTTGGAGGGACGGAAAAAGTAAATATTGACATGCGCTGATCGAATTGTAAAGAAGCCTCAGCTCAGTGACGATCAGTATCGTCAGAGAAGTAACAAACAAAACAGAAAGGGATCCATAAGGTACACACGCCCGAAGGAACCTGGAATATTTGAGAGAATACCAACGTCACGGGTCTCCAATTAAAAGACCATGACTATTATAGTACGTGCGTACTGTACCCCAACAACCATGTTCTCCTGATGGCACAGCAACATGAACTTCCATCATAGCACAAAACACGCAATCCAGTGTTTACGTTTCTTCCCCTAGCTCAGCAATGACGCCCATGGCCGTTTTCTTAAGGACGAAAGACCCATCTTTGAGTGCAAGGATCTCGAAGTCGTGTCACTTTATTAAAGCGGCGGTTCTGGGTCTATCCTCAAAATGATACTTGACACAAGATTACGATGTCTTGCCGTAGATCAAATCAAGCCAAGTCTGCCATCGAGACGTCTTGTTTTCCTCCCAAAACCATGCTTGGTTGTGTGTAACGATAGATGCGCGTCTCATAAATTGTTTTACAGCTTTACAACAGCCAACTCAAACAGACAATGCCGTCCTCCCCATCATCGACTGGTATTTCAATCCTGTATCTACCCTTTAACGCCGTTGAATGCCTCATTTTCGTGATTTAGTTTTCTGTCATCCTGAGACAGTTGTCCACTCCAGGCCTCCTGTTTCTGTAGCTAGAGTGCCTGAAAAGTAACGTCAAGCCATTCCTTTGCTCGCCTGGTTTTGTGGCTAGAGCAACTCCATACATCCATCATCTTGACGATTTACATCTTTTGATACAGCCGGATAAAGTAGCAATCGTGCATCGTTGCACTTTTCATTAATCGACGATCCATTATGACTTCGGTGCTAAAACTAGCAGCCCGCTTCAAGCCGTAATAGCAGGCGATGCAGACTGTCCAGTATCACCAGCAGCATTTCGTGCAGACTCCATGAAAGTTGGCCGATATTTGGTCAAATACTTGCCTGCCATAGGTCTTGATTCTTCAACTAGTGACGGGTCAGCAACTATCCTGAGAAGAGGTTCCAATTCGACTTACATTCGGTCCAGATATCTTGCACCGTGTCCAGTGCAATCTCTTTGACAGGTGGCCGCATCATGACCAAGTATAGAAGGCTTGTCAAAGCCAGCTGAACGACGCTGGGGTCGCGACACATGTGCTTTACGCGCGACAGGAGGTTCTTGTTTAGCTCGGGTATTTCACTCAAGAATCGCGTCAACACTTTGTCTTGAGGGTGTAGATATGGCAAAAATCCATCAATCAAACGCATGCAACACTTTTCGTAGTACAAGGGTCGGTCGCCGCCCTTTTTCTGTTGTAGTTTGTCGTTGTACCACTCTTCACAGAGCCATGAGACCGCCACATCAATATGCTTTCGGAAGTCCTCCATCACATAGGAATATAAAACGTCGCGAATATTGTTGCTGAGAGACTGGGGTGCTGATGAGCCACCCTCCTCTTTGATAGAGGTTTCCTCGAGACCGGCCACAGAGCGCGTTGCTAGTCGTGCCAGTATTGTCATCCAAGAATCCCGATTACCAGAACTAGCTGCTAGTCTGCTGAAGCCAGCTTTGCTCTTCTTGGCCGGGTCTTCTAGCGACTTCATCATCTCAATCACCCGGGTGACTGTTCCATTGCCTGCTGTCAGTGCCGTTTCTGGGGTTAGAGCACTAGGCTGATGAAGGTGGAATGATTTCAGTGCAAGGCCATCGTCCAATACCGGTGCATCATGCATGGGTGAGCTATCTAGCTTGTTGAGGATCTGTTCTGTATCCTCGGCCTGGTAAAAATCAGGCTCATAGTCATCATCGTCTTCGTCTACGCCCAACGGGGCGGTATTGGGATTCAACTCAGGAGCTGGAGCATTGGCCAGGGTGTCGAGACGGCCGCGAATACCATCGACAGCTTTAGATAATACCTGGGGGTCAAGTCTCGACAGCGTGGTAACGGCGATCCTGGCGACCAAAGGAGCGGGAACTTGCGAGATATCGAAATTCTTGAGAGCAGTATTGTCGATGAGTGTGAAAACGTCGGCTAGGCTGTGGGGGCCGGGGCCCAACGGTGGTATTTGAATCTGTGCTGGGGATAATCGCTGTCGTTTGGGATCATTGGCATCTTGTGGTGCTGGCTCGAGGGGACGTTTTCGTCCAGAATCGTCAAAAAATTCTGCCATAATCTGCATCATGCGTTCTACGTGCTGCTGTATCCTGTGAGCCATTGGATTGTTGGGATCTCGCTTCATAAGATGGATAAGTAGCATTCGAGTCGTTTTCTCCATGGATCTAATCATGACGCGGGTCTTGGGGGTTAGAGGAGAGTTGGCGAGCTTGAGGGGATTAAAGTTGACAAGAGCATTGATGATCCTGTTCGAGGTTCCTGGTCGTGTCCTCACGAGGATTGACATGCAGTTCAACGTTGCGTCTACGAGCAGAGCATCGCTGCAGTTTCGCGTACAGTTAGTTACACGGGCATTTGCAGTAAAAATCGACCCTCTTACCTGCTCTCCTGTAGAGTTGCCAACATTCTATCCAGTAGTCCGGACGCTTCAGCCTCTAAGTTCCGAGGATCAAGTGACTGGTGATTTGGGGGGACTTTATCCAGCGAGACATCTAGAGTACCGCCATACTGTTTCAACATGTTAGCGATATCACATTTATTTAGATCACAGACTCATACTCGTAGCTCAGAACCCGTCGCTGCTGTCTGTGCCAGAACTACACGCTGCGCGAACTTGATGCAACAAATCCTCACGGTAGGGCTAGCATTGTCCCATATCCTGAGAACCTTTTGTTTTACGGCTACCATTCTTTCCCAAGTGATTGTGTCGTATCCGTTGTTGATGCTACATAGTCACATTAGCTAAATCTTGCATCTCGCAGGGCAGTCTCATCATACATCCACCTCATCGCCAAGGGATAGATACTGGCAACGCATTGGATCACACTTCGCAGAACTTGAGGGTCTTCACGCTCGTTCTCGAGCATAGACTCCAACGTTGGTAAAACATAAGGTTGCATTGTCTCCTTTTCTCCATTTGGTAGAGCAGGCGTCGAAAAAGCTTCAGCTAGAAATTCGGCGCCCCATCTTCGCAGCTCGAGCGCTGCACTTGGTCCGATGATGGGTAGTATTCCCTTGACAACACTGGGATAATATTTGACATCTCCCAAAACCAACTTTCGTGCATCATCAAGCTGCCGGATCTGGTCCGACACTGAAAGATTCGCTGCCATGATTTATTGGTCGGGTTCTCGGTCGCGGCGGTAGGTGTCGGCGGATGATGAAATTATAAACGTCCTGTAAGTGTGCGATGAAGTGGTTTTCGCAGATAAAGATGCCGATGCGGCTCTTGAACCGTGGTCGCGCGACTAGGCTTAAGCTTTGTAGCTGTGCATGCTTTGCATCAACCGCTCAGCTTCATCAAAGGATCGGAAGTCGCGCGTGCCGCGGCGTCCTCATACACGTCGGGGATTCGTTCCGTGCTGTCGTTGTCGTTGTCGCTGTTGGGGTTGGTATATCTCAGACCTGAATCTTTTGAAATGGCGACGCGAAAGCAAAGAATATGGAACGTGGAAACAGAAACAGACCCTTGCAAGCAAGCAAGCTCCACAAAGAACCTGGAACTAAGGTAAGGAAAGTTCAATAGACGTCACGGTCATCCTCCATCCGCCCGATGTTTAGCCGCAAATATTCTTCTTACCTCAGTACAAAGGCGCATCAACATTCACTCGAAGTACATTCGAGATAGAGCTATATCTCGCAGCATTTAAGCAATTGGCCCTCTTCAATTGCATTGTGGCCTGGCTCAGGATAACCCTTGTAATAATTGACAACTCGACCATCCAAGATGCCCACCAGGTTTGTTTACTGAAAAACAGTCACTGAAGTGGGCTGATCATGACTCTGAAACAGCCCGCACTCAACATACTACGATCGCCGTCTGCGACAGGGCCCTGCGCTTGTACGAGCACGACGGCCCTATCTTGTCAAAAATGCCGTGACAGGCCTTGGTCTCTTGGCTGTCGTTGGAAGCATTTGTATGCAGAGAGAGAGCTCTTGTGTGGTTGTCATCCTCTGCTAACGTGGTCTAGATTGGTATACGCTTAACGCCGTTGGTCAAGACAATTTCGAAGATGTCAAGGTCCCAGATGCGCCCGCAAAGTCATCTGCCTCCAAGTAGACAGTTCACCTAAGTGGCCTGGCCACATGTACGATTAAGCGCTGGAATTTCGATGTGGATGCAAGTTGAATAAGAGGGCAAAATGCAGTGTTGCTATTCATAAGACCTACAAAGCAAAACGCCCAGAAAACTCCCCATCCTTTCATGTACAACAGGTTTGCCAGCTATTCTGTGCAGGGTGTATATAAGCATATGAAGACCTTTGTACAGTGACTCTCAAGCAACCGGCTATCCACTACCTACAAAGTGGATGCCTTTCGCTCGACTGATGGCAGTAGACAGATATATACTAGCTGCCGTAGACGAATGCAATATTCTAATGCCGCTCAAGTCCAAATAAAAAGAAAAAGAAAAAGACAGCCCGGTCCGCAGCGGCCTGAACCGATCATCTCCCCTGGGTATCACAAAATCCGAGTACAAAAGCAAGATGCCCCATAGTTTTACCAATCCAGTCCTATCCGAGGGATATGTTCAACCACAAATCTTACACACTCAGCGTCTATGTAGCTGCCGACTTTGTACCGCGGTTGACGCCGGGCAGACTGTTGCCAACCCGTTTAGCTTGGTGAGCCGGGCTAAGTAACGTTCTTGTCAATTCTGGAGACTCCGATAGTCGTGCCGAGAGTGGAGGAGACTGCGTGATTTGGGCGCCAGGAGGCACAGAAGCTTGGTGCGCACCACGGCTGGTCATCTCATCTGGAGGTGCCCCCGTTGAAGCAGCTGTAGGGTGCACCTTGTGAAGTAAATGATTTGGATTGGCCCACGGCGTCTCTCGAAGGAATTGTTCACCAGCGGGTCCGAGGCGATCAAATGGCTGGGCATAGTATTCCTCGCGTCGTTGGTTTACTGGCTTATGTCGTGATCGCTTGGCTCGCTTACGATAGTCAGCTCAGTGCTCTGGGAGCTGACTTGTGTTGTTAACGTACCTCAATGGCAGCTATATCATCTTCCAGTTCCGACGGTGTCGCCCCACTCATCTCGGGGCCTGCGGGGAACCCTTCGTACTTTGCAATCGTAGCTAGTGCTGAGACTTCGGTGTTGTAGGCGATCGCATTTCTCACACGTTGTGCGGGATCCTTGGGGTAGAGCAAGCCGCAGTCCTGCAAGCTGTGTGCGCTTCGCCTTGCAGTCTGGATGTCGTACCACTCTTGATTAAGTGCTTCTAGGGTCCTTTCTCTCTTCTCACGAACCGCTTGGTAGTACTGCCCCCATATTTGGGCTCGCTGGGCAACGGACCGTCGCTCGTGAGCCTTGAGGCGATATTCGTGTTCATTGTTTATTTCGCGTAGCTTTTGTTCTAGTCGATCATCCAGACACTGCTTCATGTTTAGGTACTCAGGATGTGTCGGTTCGCTGGCAAGGAGTGACTGTTCTTCCTCTTCCAGTCGTTCAAGTCGGTCTTTGTAGAGCCTAGACAAGACATCAGCAGGTAAATGCTTGTTATCACGATACAACGTACCTATCACGAAACACCCCAAACATTTCTTCGATAACAGTCCAATCCTTGAAAGCGGCTTGTTTTCGTTCCACTGTGACAAGATAAGTAAGATGACCTGGATCATGAGTAAATTTGTTCTTACGCTCTTCATCATGTGCAGTAGCTGAGTCAACTTCTTCGTCCGCATCTGCATCAGCTTCGTCGTGGTGATCCATGTCTGTTCCCCTGGTGCTGTCGCGCGCGCCATCATGACTTCCGCTGTCAGTGTCCGGGTCAAGATCAGCAACAGCTGCCGCTGCTTTTCGTTTGGATCCGCGGGTGTTCTTTTTTACGGCGCGCGAAAGACGCTCTGCCAGATCAGTCTCTCTGTTGGTAGATCTCTTCTGGGGAGAAGCATCAGTGTCTTCAGCAGGTGTATGTGTACCGGTGCTTTCAGGCGCAGGGGTGGGCCCGTCTTCTTGCAAAACAGTCTCTTCTGGCTGCTGGGGGATGTTCACATCAGTCGCATGCTCTGAACTTGCTCGTTTTCTAAGCGGCTGTTCGGTTTCTGATTGATCGGCGGCGGGTGAACGCTTCCGTTTCCGCTCTTGGGCGTCATTTTTATGCTCGTCTTCGTGTCCAGCATTGTGTGCAATACTATGTTTTGTTGGCGAATCTTCACCGATTGTGGGGGAGCCTGTAGAAGCATCGTCGTCATCTATTGCAGATTCGTCCTCGTCGTCGTTGTGCATGTTGGCTGTCCTGCGAAGCTTGCTGGGAGTGTGTTCGTAGACTTGGCCCTCGTTGTATTGGTCTACCACAACGTCTCGTTGCCTTTGGTGCTTTGGTGTATCATATAGTCGTTCGGTTTCAGCTTCTGTGACGTTGCCATCAGAGGGTACATCGGAGTGAGCGTCAGAGAGAACGCTGTCCGAGTCGTCGGTAGGTGGTGGCTTCTTTCGAGGGCTACGCCTGACGCTATCTTCGTCATCATGATCGAGATTCATATGCTCAATGTCTTCGTCGTTGTCATCTTTCGTGTCAACCTCACTGAGGGGGCTGGAGATGTTGCTGTCCTCATGATCGGCAACTCCAAGCGCCGGGGAGGAGAGAGGCGGCGGTGCGGAAGCAGTGGCTGCCATAGCTGCAAAAGGACGCGATTACGTGTCTATATATTGACCCGATAGGACTATTGTGTTTTCTCGTATCGTTGGGCGGGAAACAGCGCTGTTGTCGATCGCCGGGTCGTGGGAGCGCGCCCGTGGTGACGAGTGACGAGGAATGGTCGCTAGAAAATCGAGGACGCAAGATCTTGGAGTGGGAGCGTGAGAAGGTGAATGTGAGCTCAGAAACAACCGATTGGGTCGGTCTCTGTCCGGCATGAGAAATTCAAAAGAGGAATTTGAGGTAAGGAAGAGCTAGGAAACTTGTATTCGACAAGTTGGGCTGGTGGAGGGGGAACAGAGGGTAGAGAGAGGGAATGGGATGGGTGCGGCCCCGGTTTGCGCTGGCTGCCCTGGGCGTCGTCTCTGGGCTTGGGGCGAGCGCCGAAGCGGCTTTGCTGAGAGAATGACGGGGCCGTAAAAAGGCGGTTCTTGACGGCAGAAATGCTCACTGTCAGTGCCACGAGAGCTTATCGATTGGCTGAGGTTATCAAACCAATGACCATGTCCTGAGCAATCGGATTGTGGGTCTTCCGTTCTGAACCTGGGACTTTTTTCTGGCTCATGTCTTTTTCGTCGGAGGTCAAAAAGAGTGCACAAGAGTCGACGACTTTTCCAATTCAGCACAAACAGTACTGAATCTGACACAATGGCAAAACGGTAACTTGCCGATTCTTGATGCCTTTACGGACAAAGATCTAACAAAAAACAGGTCAAAAAGCCTGACAGCTTCTTCCAAGGCGGTGGACCCCACCCTCGACGCTCTTTTTGCGTCCAGTGTAAGTTTTGCGACATCTAGCCATTTGACTTGATCCATACTCATCATTTGCAGGCTGGTCCTGTGCAGGCTCCCGTTAAGTCAAGATACTCGACGTTGGTGGAACAAAAGGTTCGGGAACAACCCAAGCCAAGGGTGCAACTCGAAGAACAAGACGCCGACGATGAGGTTCTCTCTGAGATTAGCGAGGAGCTGAGCTTCGAAGAAGATGGCCCATCAGACGAGGAAGAAGATGTTTCCGACGCTTCGGAGCCAGAGGGGGAGAGTGAAGACGAGCAAGAGGAAGAGGAAGAATCTTCAGACGAGCCCATGAAGGATGCGCCAGTGGAGCTCGACGACATTATTGATGCGACAGAAGACAAGTCAAGCAAGGATCGGAAACGAAAGAGAAAAAACGAAAACGACGATCTGGAGGGCAAATACTTGGACAAACTTGTTGCGGAAGAGGAAGCTGAGCGCGCCGGCAAGCGACAAAAGAACGACGCTCTGAATAAGACCGAAAAGGCTGTCGCGGAGGATGAGGATGCCGGCAACGACAGTGACACTCCCGTCCATGAGACCCTCGCCAAGGACAACAAATCGTCAGACCTCGAGAAGGCAGCGCGAACAGTCTTTCTCGCCAACGTGTCCACAGAAGCAATCAATTCCAAGGCCGCCAAGAAGACCCTCATGGCCCATCTGTCATCCATTCTGGATAAAGATGCCACTCCTCCGCAAACTATCGAGTCATTGCGTTTCCGTTCCGTTGCTTTCGCAGGTGGCTCTCTCCCTAAGCGAGCAGCTTACATTACTAAGAGCCTGATGGACGCGACGACCAAGTCCGCTAATGCATATGTCGTGTACTCAACCTCGGCGGCTGCTCGCAAGGCTGCCGCAGAACTCAATGGTACCCAAGTCCTTGAAAGGCACCTGAGAGTTGACAGCGTCGCCCACCCCAGTCCCACGGATCACCGCCGGTGTGTGTTTGTTGGCAACCTCGGGTTTGTTGACGATGAGACCGTCTTGAACACCAACGCAGATGGTGACACTACGGAGAAGAAGAAGAACAAGACCCCATCCGATGTCGAAGAAGGTCTTTGGCGAACGTTTAGCACCCAGGGCAAGGTTGAAAACGTCCGAGTAGTTCGAGATTCCAAGACTCGTGTAGGCAAGGGTTTCGCCTATGTCCAATTTTATGCAAGTCCACGGTTGTCTTACTTCGATCGGACCAGTTGCTAACATTATTTCCCAGGACGGCAACGATGTCGAGGCAGCCTTACTCCTTGATGGCAAGAAATTTCCTCCCATGTTGCCGCGTAAGTTGCGAGTCACTCGAGCCAAGGATCCTCGCAAGACAGCTCTCGCCCAGGAGCGAGCCAGGGGCAGGAATATCGTTCCTAATGGCGCCGCCAAGAGCACAAAATACAAGCACAAGGCTACACCTGAGGAGCAGTCCATGGCTGGACGTACAAGCAAGCTTCTCGGCCGCTCGGCCGCCGTGCAGCAACGCCACAAGAAGCGCCCCTCAACACAGGGCGCTTCCGAAGATGCTCAGAACATTCCGTCCAATATCAAAGGACCCGAACAGTTCGTTTTTGAAGGCCGTCGTGCTTCAGCTAAGGACGGCACACCCAAAGATCTCAAACTTGGTAAGAAGGGCAAGGGCAAGGGCAGGTCCGGCAGGCCCCAAAACCGAGGCGCAAGGAGAGCTGCCGAGTGGAAGAAGAAGAGCTGAGCGTTTTATGGTGAATAGCACTCTTATCGCTAGTGGTTGACACATGGGATATGTGTTCTTTTCATACGTGAGATGAGAACGAGGATGGTGTTGTTGAAAAAAGAGGGCCCCACGCCCCGGAAAGTTTGCGAGTGATTTTTCGGCCTTGGCTGCCCTCGCAAGTTCTGGCCGCTTAGATGAGAGACAAAGGTCCTTGCATACTTATCGGGGTGATGTTGAAAAGTTCATAGAGTTGTACAGAGTTCGCCAGTATATAAAGCACTAATTTTGGCTTATGTATTTAATGCTTACATACTGTTGTGATTTTTGTGTTAGATTCAGAATTCTAAGCCGGAATCTTAATACAAATCATGGTTGCATCACGACGACTTCGTTGGAGCTAGGCTAGTGCGTTGATGTGGTTAGTGGTTCTCATGTCAACGACATAAAATAAGGCCATGGGCAAACCTATTTCAATGAAAATGGATATATCATCAATTTTACGTGCCTGCTAACAAAGGCACCAAGCTTGCGTCGAGGGATAGTCTCGTCTATCAGGGCCTGGCACCAACATTCAAGGCCATGTACTAACGGGGTACCCTGAGCCAAACTCTGGCGCTTGGTGACCAACACATCTTTACCCCCATATGTGTGCCACCTCAAAAATCTCGGGAATCTTAAACAACATCCTCCACAACTCTTTTCTGTACATTGCTTCGCGGGCGTGAGCCCTGTCCGAGCCATCGCTTAAAACATGTCGTCAAAGAAGTCGAAAGAGATTACATAAACTCGCCTTGGTCGATCGTCTAGTACTCGAGCTCCTCCTCAGGCTCGAAGGAGTCGGCAGCAACCTCCTCGTAATCCTTCTCCAGAGCAGCGAGATCCTCTCGGGCCTCGGTGAACTCGCCTTCCTCCATACCCTCACCAACGTACCAGTGGACGAAAGCACGCTTGCTGTGCATGAGGTCGAACTTGTAGTCGAGCCGGGACCAAGCCTCAGCGATGGCGGTGGTGTTGGAAAGCATAGAGACGGATCGCTTGACGGGGGCAAGGCCTCCAGCCTCAGGAGCGGCGGGGACAGCCATGGGCTTCTGGTAGTTGATGCCGAGCTTGAAACCAGTGGGGCACCACTCGACCAAGTTGAAGGAGGCCTTGGCCTTGAGGGCGGCGATGGCGGCGTTACAGTCGCGGGGAACGACATCACCGCGGTACAGAAGAGCGACAGCCATGTACTTGCCGTTTCGGGGATCGCAGACAACCATCTGGTTGTTGGGCTCGAAGCCTGTGGGGAGTCAGTATCTTCGAGGGTGCGCCTATAACATGGGCAGGACTTACACTGGAAGGTAAGCTCCTGTACCTTGAAGCTCTCATGCTCACTCTTGGCAGAGGAGATGACAGGGGCGTAGCTGATGAGAGGGTAGTGAATTCGAGGGTAGGGAACCAAGTTGGTCTGGAACTCGTTGAGATCGACGTTGAGGGCACCGTCAAATCGGAGAGAGGATGTGATGGAGCTGACAACCTGGGCAATGAGGCGGTTTAGGTGCTCGTACGAGGGTCGAGGAATATCGAGGTTGCGACGGCAGATGTCGTAAACAGCCTCGTTATCGACGAGGAAAGTACAGTCAGAGTTCTCAATGGTGCTGTGAGTGGAGAGAACAGCATTGTAAGGCTCAACGACGGCAGTCGAGGTTCGGGGAGCAGGGTAGACGGCGAACTCGAGCTTGGACTTCTTGCCGTACTCGGTAGAGAGACGCTCGAGGAGAAGAGCACCGAAACCAGATCCGGTACCACCACCGAAGGAGTGGAAGATCAGGAAACCCTGAAGAGACTGGCAGTTGTCTGAATTATGCGGTTAGCGTCGAGTGCAAGTACAGAGGTGACGAAAGAGCTCACCGGCGACGCGACGAATGCGGTCAATGACATTGTCAACCATCTCCTTGCCAATGGTGTAGTGACCACGAGCATAGTTGTTGGCGGCATCCTCCTTGCCGCTGATCAACAACTCGGGGTGGAAAAGGTTACGGTATTCGCCAGTTCGGATCTCGTCAATAGGAGAGGGGTCAAGATCGACGAAGAGAGATCGAGGAACATGCTTGCCGCTGCTGGTCTCAGTGAAGAAAGTCTCGAAAGAGCCAGGGTCACCAATATCGGGAGCATTGGGGTCGGGGCGACCATCGGGGCCGAGACCGTGCTCGAGAAGGTAGCTATTCAGAGGCCAGTCAGCTTCAAGTTCGTGACGGTGGCGTTATTTGACAATCCAGGAAGACCACGTACAGCTCCCAAGCAGAGTTACCGAGCTGGGTACCAGCCTGGCCCAGGTGGAGGTGAAGAATCTGGATAGCAGAGAATCAGCATCGCGAGGTCGGATAGCAGCTTCAACGGATAATAAGGGGGCGCCCCAGCTGCACAGCTCCAGACACCAAGTGGAACACACAAAGGGTATCTCGAGCAGAGCAAAGCAACGCATTGCAGCGGAGAGACGGGCTGCAGCATAATTGTAGACATACCTCGCCCTTCATTTTGTCTGGATGAAGCTAAAGAAGCTAAGACAAGAGGTTGAAGTCGGGGGAGGAAAAAGACGGGGAGAGAAATACTGTACGCGCGCAGCGCTTGAAGGGGGAAGGGGAAGAAGGGGCCTGAGGTGGTGATGGTTTTCGGGGTGGGCGTTTGGAGTTCCAATCTGTGGGTGCGCTGGTGCAGTGGGACATCCAATTGGTGGCGGGGTCGTCAACAAACATTGCTAGGCCCCCCAGAGCTATCAGTAGGTACATGTGCAACAGGCAGATTTTAGCAGTGCCACCGCGTACCTGAGGTGCCTCTCACCGCCAATTGACAGGGAAGCCTGGGGACCCTTGACAGTGGGAGAACTGCGCTTGCAAGGGGCATTCAGGTGGGATCTGCTCACCCGGGAATGGTTTGTTGGCATTAGATCCAGTGATATGCCAGTGAGAGTTGATAGGTACCGACCTATCGAACAGCTGCAGTGTATTGACTCTCAAGGCTTTCCATACATATAGCATTGGATCTTTCTCATCACTTATAGCAGTAACATTTTAGCTTTTAGCTACAGAATTGCGACATGTCGATTCTAATTGGACAGTGGGGGAGACCATTGAACTAAGAACACTTAGCTGTCCGTGCCTGTATTTCAATGTAACTGTATCTCGATCTTCTTCCTTACCTCTTTACAGCTACCATAGCATATAGAGTCGCCGCTTGTGGACATTTCATGTTTCCTGACATGTCCAGTCTGGCCTCAACTTCAATGACTTGTAGCGAGGCGTGTATTAATTTCGGTGCCTGAAATCTCTCCTCCAGGCTACCAGATATCTAGGAATGCAGCAAGGCACCAGGGTATCAAGCACGGGTCGGAATTTCCAGTGATGCCGAAGAATTATGCAGGTGACTAGGCTGGTCACCGGAATACAAATGACATATCAAATGATTTAACCCAACTCCAAGCATATTAACAGAGGGCCAGAGACTGACGAGGAATTGGACCAGTCGAGGGGAGAGGGGTTATGGCTTGCGCCAGGTATGAAGGCCGTAAATCTTCGTATCATCCGTGAAATAACTTCGACCGATCTGCTTCAACAAAAGACACCTAAGCAGAAGAACTCACTGAAGAGCCATTGCTCTAATTCAGCATTCTCATGTTGTTGTCTCAAGCTTGTTGGGAAAGACAACTTAGAGCTGGTATATGAATGAAATAGTCAGAGCAGAGGTAATTACAAATATTGATTTCAACTGGAAACTAGATAGGTAGCTATCGATGGATTAGGCAGTAGCGTACACTGACAGAAAATGAACTGCTCATCTTTGGCGATGAGAATGGCTAAGGCTTCACTCCTTCAATGTATGTTTCGCTACGGGATTCGCCAGAACCTTCCTGGCTCAAACCGCGGTCATGCTCGCGCTCTCTCCAAGCCCTCAGCATTTCTTGGTTAACCCCCTTGTAATAACGGGAGCCATGAGGAAACCACAGGAGGGTAGAGAGCACTACAGCACCCAAGAACACGGCCCAATTATAGTTCAGCGTCGCTCCAGTCCAAGTTGCCTGAGGGTGGAAGCATTCCATTATCATCATATAGACGACCGTCAAGAAACCCAAGACATGAACGGGCTTGCTAAATCGGCCCATATTCCACGGGCCCGGAACCCATCGTCCATTGTCGAAGACTCTGAATATCATGGGTAGTGCGTACAATACCATGACAGCAATGACAGCAAGGGAGTATATGGTCTCGGATGCAATAGGAGAAAATCCCAGACATAGCATAAGCATTCCACCAATCGTGAGAAACATTGTTGTATAAATTGGCATATTGCTCCGGGGCGAGACGTATGAGAGTTTATCGTTGAAGAGCATCCCCCCATCCCGTGCAAAGGCAGCTGTCTGGCAAGACATCATGACCAAAACGGCCGCGCCACCGATGGAGGTGTTCAGGAAGATGATGAGCAGGAAAGCTCCCGCGACCTTGAGACCCCAGCGCTCTATCAGAAGAGTAAAGGCAGCGTAGCCGCTAGAGGGAGCCGGTTAGTGTTGACACATCTGGGCATGGTCTCGTGCTGCCAGGCAGAACACGGTACCAGTTTGCTATTGGAATGAGAAACTTACGTAGGGTCAGATGCTGCTGCTTCCATGTCGGTAATACAGAAAGCCAACAAGGTGCAAAATATCATACCCATGCCTGCTTGTAGACAATACGTGTTGATGATGGAGCGAGGTGCGACTATTCGTGCATTGTGAGTCTCCTCTGCCACGACTGATGGTGCATTCCAACCATTAATGACCCATGCGGCACAGAAGAAGGTGAACGGAACAGAAACAGGCCTTTCCCAGTCACTGTAGTTGGTGTAGTCTCCAAAGACGGTAGCGGCAGAAGTAAAAGGTATACTCTGGGTCTTTTGGGCGACGGGGAGTCCAATGACAAAACAGGCCGAGGAGACGAGAACAAGGGTTGCTGTCACTCTGTGTCAATCAAATTGATAATGCATCAGATGAGGGGACGCAGGTCTGGAAGCATACCCGACGAGATGAAAACAAGGCTGGCTTTATCCATCCTAATAGATGCCGTGAAAAACCATGCAGCGCAGGTAGCTATAGCGACCGCAAAGATGATAGGATTGGTCGGTACCCAGCCGGTGAAGAGGCCTATAATGGTGCAGATCGAGCTGGACGATGCCCAAGCAAAACTTGCAATGCTTGTGAGGGAATTCATGATGTTGGCCATGCCTGCGATGAAAGACAGAGGACGGGATATCGACGGAGGTGCGAGTGCAGCTGTCCACCAATAATTGGCACCATTGACTGGCATCGATGAACAGAACTCTGCGGTAGTGAGAGCCCACGGGAGGAAAAGGAATGAAGGGATAAACCAGCCCCTGAATATTGAAGGTCAGCGCAGGCTCCTCATTGTTTGAGTTGCAGAACAGTTTGCGTCAGCGTTGTTCATACCAAGTCAGTCCCCAATAGCCACCATAGTTGATCTGGTAAGAGACAGCTATGAAGATGCCGCACATGGGTCTGCGACTATTGTTAGCCTTCAGTGAATACTTGATCACCCCTTTGTCGCGAGCATCTCGACCCCGGGCTAGAGGTGACTTACGAGGCCATAGCCATTGTGAGTGACATGGCGCCCAGAGAACGAAAGACTCTGGCGTATGAGGGGCTGTAACCAAAATCTTGGACAACCTCATCTTCAGCAAAGTCGGACGCTATGGAGTTGCGGGGACCCATCTTCTTGTCGGCATCAGGGTCTCTGTCAAGTATAGATGCCATATCGGGCTATCTGCTTTGAATTCAAGTTGAAGAAAGGTCAACAGAGATATATGATAGAATAGAGAAAGGCTCGGGGGGAGGTTGTCCCTCTGATCAGAGAGCAAGCTTCCCATCTCAAGTACCATTGAAGATATATATCATCTAGAGACGACGAGACACAGAACATTGTTGGCGAATCGCAGTAGATAGGCATACCCCAGATACAGTTATCTTTTAGTTATCACCTAACCCTGCTTTGGCTGTATCTGATCGCGGGGTAATCATTCATTGGATCCATTAACTTAATACGGAGTAGATAGCTAGCTTCGACTGAGATATGCGCTAGTCCTGAGCGTCGAGAACAAGATACACATAAATACATAAATAGGCCATCGGATGGTTTTGGCAGCCCCTCTGCGCATTGTTCCCGTGGTACGAAGTATCCATCAGAATCTCGGCATCGGTTTGGGGCCGACATCACCACCTTATAGTTAGCCATCCAGATAAAAGACGGCTGTCTATTGACAACAGGACAGTATCATTAACAACTGCTCAACAAGAATACTGTCTTAGGGGATCAACCTCATTTCGCCCAGCTTCTTACTTCACCGATCACTTCCGTTGTAGTCCATACCAACCCGACCTCATGCAGTCACCTACTGGTTATCTGGCGTCTCTGCCAGTCGATAATCCGACCAAGTCCTTCTGGCAGAGCGAGCCTGACCCAGTGATCAGTAACTACCAATCGTAAGCAGTAACCTATGAATAGCCCTTACAAACTGCACAATCTTTGGGCCTAGTCTTGCTAGTGAGGAGATGTGAAAGATTTATGCTTAGATCAATACCGAACTGACTGGAATCATAACTGCAGTGCTGAATTTTCCCCCTCTGCTGATGTTGTTATCATCGGCTCGGGGTTGTCTGGTGCTTTCATCGCCCACCAGTTGCTCAGTTCCAGCTCACCAAACAGACCAAAATCCGTAGTCATCTTGGAGGCCCGCAACGCAGCTAGTGGTGCTACTGGAAGAAATGGTGAGTAATAGAAGTCGCACAGATCAATCAATTATCACCGTATTGTACTTACACTGCCTCTGCTTAGGCGGTCATATAAAGCCGGACTGCTATCGTGGCTTCACATCGTACTCCATCCTGCATGGTACTGATGTTGCAAAGGCTCAGTGTGAATTCGAAGCCGCCAACTATCAAGAAACCGCAAGATTCATCCATGAGAATAATCTAGCTGCGGAAGTCGATCTGGTACAGTATCGCTCAGCCGACGTCTACCTGACCCCAGAGTCCTGGAAGACCGGCCTGTCATCGTACAATGGCTTCAAAGAATCTGGCGGCGATGTCTCCGATATCAATGTACTCAGTAAAGCAGAGTCTGAGGAGTCTCTACGGGTTAAGTGTTGCTATGGAGCCATCACTTTCCCAGCTGCCAATCTGTGGCCATATAAACTCGCAATCGCTGTTTTACGCAAGGGGCTCGACTTGGGACTAAGTCTTCACACCAATACTCCTGTCACAAGTGTATCTCCCGACACCTCCAGGATCTTGGAAGATCTCAACACCCCAAGGGGTTGTAATAGCAAATAAGGTCATCCATGCAACCAACGGCTATGCTTCGTACCTCCTACCTGAGCTTGATGGGCGAATTATCCCCCTCAAGGGTCATGTTTCTGCCATCAGGCCCCCGCCGGCTTATATGGACCAGCCTCTGACGACATCCTTTGCTTTCATATCCAATGACGATTACGACTATCTCATCCAAAGACAAGGTCCTGAAAAGTACCTGATCTGGGGCGGTGGCGAGGTTGCTCATCCCAAAGGTCTCTCAGGCGGTTTCGGTGACTGCGATGACCGTCATGTCGTGCCTGAAGTCGAGTCCTACATTTTGAATGCACCAGTTGAAATATTCAGGGATTGGAAAGAGTCTAGGGCGTCTTCTAGAACTAGCCCTGCAGGTGCCGTGGCATTCTCCTGGAGTGGCATCATGGGCCTGAGCAAAGATCTTCTTCCGTTTTTGGGAGAACTTCCAGGCAAGCCTGGTCAATATCTGGCTGGTGGATATCACGGGCATGGTAGGTCTAGCAGTCCAGTAACTGAAAGAATTTCTTTGCTAATGGAGGTAATTTAGGGATGGCGCGCATCTTTCTGAGTTGCAAGGCTTTTTGTGAGGAGTTTCTTGGTGAAGCGACTGATCCCCGTGTTCCTACTACTTATTTCGATTTGACCTCACGACTTAAAGACCCAATAGACCTCGAGATCATGGATAACATGGCATAGTTAGAAGTTCAAGATACTCTCAAGCAACTGCAGGCCTTTGATAGAGTGTGCGAGATTGTAGACCTGATTAATAACCGTATATGATGCTTTTTCGATGTTAAAGTACCTTCCTTCGCCTTCAATATCGCCTAAACTTCTTTTAAAGGGTACAATCATGAGGGTAGGCTTCTTTGAGAGCCGTATGAGTCCAGCAGCAACGTTCATTCACGGATGAGAAACAATGCTTGAGTTTGTCTATCATTGTAATGCTTTCAAATGCAAAGCGATAATTTATTTCAACTCCTCAATGAACTTTTGAAATGCTGTCAGAAAACGCTCAACATGATCCTCCGTGTGGCACATATTTAGAAAAAGAAAACCTCTGCGGCCGATCCAAATCCCATGCTGAACCATGTGACAGAATAAAAGCCCCATCAACCGTTCTCTATCGACACGAAGAAACTGTAGTCCTATGGTGCTTCCGAGACCAGTAATTTTGAGGTCAGAAAAGTGATGCTCCGCACAGATCTCTGAGATCCGGTTTCGAATAGTGTCCCCGAGTTTATTGACGCGATGAATCACGTCCTCCGTGACCAGATCAGCTGCAGCCATGGCAGCTGAAACAGTAAGAACATTGTTATTAAATGTTCCACAGTGGCCCAGTTTCTGGGCTCTCTGCTCATGGGCAGCCATGATGTCAGAGCGCCCCCCAAAAGCTCCAAAAGCTCCAGAAGGGAGGCCCCATCCAATGTATTTTCCAAGAGTTGTCATATCAGGCATAATCTTGTGGAATCCTTGAAGTCCATTGATATGTAGGTGAGATGTCATAGCCTCATCGAATATCAAAACGGCACCAGTTACGTCGGCCGTTTTGCGCAGAAAGGAGAGAAACTCCCTAGTAGCAGGAATCTGACCGCCTGCTAAAAGCATCGTTTCGACAATAATAGCTGCTAGATCTGATGATATATGCTTCTGGTTGGCCTCTATTTAGTTGTAGGTACCAAGAATGAAGCTGTGAGATACGTTTAACTTGTTGTCCCCTGAGCCAAAATTCGGGGTAACGCCGTGGTGCCCATTATCAAACACCAGTATCTAGGATGAGAATAAATTAGTTTCACAAGGCTTCGGAAATAGCCCCCCGCAGACTCTTCACTGACCTTTGTTCTGCCGGTAAATTCCATAGCTGTAGCTAATGCGTAGGTGCTGGCTTCGGTGCCGGAATTACAGAACCTAACTCTCTCCATACTTGGGAATCTTATCTTGATACGCTCGCCAAGATGACACTCTTTGTTAGTGACACTACTCAGGCTGAAGCCAGTAGACAGGTCACTTCTGACGGCTTCAGCGATAGTGTGGTTCGAGTGTAAGCTGCCTAATAGTCAGATACAAAGTCCAGATACTCTCTCTTGTCGACAGAGTATAGATAAGGACCCTGTCCGCCCTCCATGCAAAGCACAAACGGGTCTCCGCGAGGAACTGAGCCCGTGTTTTCGCCAGCTAGAGTCTCCTGAGCTCCTTGATGGGTGGCTAGAGATGAAGGGTTTTCTGCAACGAAGTTGTCTATTAATGTGGCGAGTTTGCTGCGCAAGTTTGAAGTTACCTTCTCCGTGCCTCTTCTCAACATAAATGGTTTAAAAGCCTTTCGACTTTGTGAACGAGGCTCGTGAGCCCTTTGTAATCCAAAGGTGGCTTCCGGGTTTCAAGTCGTAGGATTGGTTTGTGACAGTATCAGTAATTACGCCAGTGCCTATCACGCAATGAGAATATCAGTTGATGGCCCTGGCAAGTAGGGAGAGTAACAAATATACCCTTTACGACGTATTTAATTTCATCCTATTCTGCTGTATATGATTCGGTTGGTGTCTTTCTGTCAAAGAGGTCCCAGATACCAGTCATGATCGGTGCATTGACATCTGAACTATAAACTACTGTGAAAACTGATTCTTTTGACATTGGAGGAAGTCTGCCTCACCCCGAGCCAACAATATCACTGTATGCTCCGATCTCATCCTTCATCTCTGGGGCTAGAGTGCCAGCATCTGAGAGCACCGCAACATATGCATATACTAACTATGCATATAAATCTAGAAGCATGAGAGACCAATTGCAACTCTACGTTAGTAGGTTCTAGAAGTATATTCCTTGCTTGTAGCTTTTGGTCTTAATGCTTTAAGCAAAGGCTACTCAAACGCAGTTCAAGTATAACTTCCTTAAGGTAGGGTGTAGCTACGCTTGCAACGCAATAACCGCCGTGGTAACTCGCTACCTACTCTATAGAAGAAGAAGGAAGTACCCTTATGGCAGCTGCATGGTGATGTGTGTAGAAGTAAACCTTCCTTATTGTGCTTACAATTGTTTGGCAGCTACATGGTGATGTGTATAGGTTTAAACCTTCGTCAAGGCTATTCATGTGAATATTGGCAATGTACTACCAATGTAAGCTGTCCACAGGGAGCAACAAACTTCTGGTACCAGACTAGGTGCTAGAGATGACTACTCTGAGGCCAACTAAACTTATATTAAATGTTATTAAATTTATACAAGCCTTTTCTTACTCTGGATAGAGTTTCCATATTTTCTGCCTCCTCTTGGCTATCAATGAAGAAGTCCGTAAGTGCGCTGGTTGGATGGTTCACAGCATGGTTTGAGATATTATTGTGATAAATAAATGAATCTGACCGATGTGCTCTGCCCACCTCATACTACGCTTCACCTACTCTATCAAGCTCCCTGAGCCAAACACTGTTGTCAAACCTATGACAATGACTCTTGTTATATAGCTGTTTCATCAAAACCTGACTATTACAATTACAACAAAGGGGGAGGAAACTTTTGTTATAAGCATTGGTAAATCAAGAATTCAAAACTTTGGTATTAAATTATTTGGGTTTTGATAATCTTTTCCCACCCAACCTCCGTACTCCTAAAAACGACTTTCGGATATTTCCTCCTGTAAGATGAGTGTGTGTGTAGTTAAAAAGCAAAATAGCCCGTAGCAACATGCTACAGCCGCGCAAAGTGGTATCATAGGTGTGTAGGCCGTTTCCCGTCCAAGTCATGATCCCTCGCTCTCTTCTCGCTTCCAGAATTTGATCATTCGCACTTGAATCTAGTCTTAATCTCGCCGGTTGTCTTCTTGTGACTGCGTCTCAGAACGCTCCAGCTCTTCTATACGGCGTTGAATCGCCTCTTTCTGGACTTGCAACGCCCTGATCTCCTCGTCCCGTGTCGCCGTGTCCTCGCTTAGCTGACTATCGTTTTCGGTCATGCTGTTTGAGTCCGTAGCAGCCTCGTAAGCTGGTGGTGGCTCTGTGGTCTGGCGGCTCCTGTCACGACGACGGTTGGCGTCCGCAGCCGCGTAGAAGTTGTCTCCTGGTGCTGGCGAGGTGTGACGCATGCTTCCCACCGCACCGAGCTCGTGTGCTCGTCTCTTTTCCGTCTTCTTTCGCTCTCTTCGAATGAGCCAAAAGGCAAGTGCTCCTATCGCAAGCAGAACAAAAACCGCGACACCAACACCAATACCGATGCGAGCGCCCAGGGACAAGGATCGGCCATGATGCTCAGTACCTGGGATATCGTCCTCATCCTTGAGTCCAAGTGCATCTTTGTCGCTATCTTTGAACAGGGCTCTTATGGTATAAACAGCAATTGTTGCACCATACAAAGTCGTCGGTGTGTCTGACACAGCATCATAAGTCTGAGCTGTCTGGTTGTATGTGTAAGGAACAGCCAACACGGATGAAACCGAACGTTTACACAAATTGCCATCCAGAGTGTATTCCCTACTGCAATTAGAATGGTACATCCAAACACCTTCTCTCATGACTTACGATGAGCAGCAAATAGCTGTCGTTGTCTCGTCGTCCCGATTCTCACTAGTATCAACGCGCAGTGATACGGTGGTCCATCCATGAGGGCATGTGCCTGGACTGTAAACCCCTGTAAGGCCTTTATCAAACATGGCATCGGGATAGCAAGACAATGACTTCGCTCCAGCAATTGGCTGCAAGTCAAGCATTGCTGCGAGACCGTTAGAACCTGACTCTGGTACCTTGTTTGCATCATAAGTCCATGTGCAATCAACAGGTCCGGTCCAAGGTGTGGTCATCGGTGGGAATATCCCGTCATCGTCTAGGTCGTCTTCATTGGTAGGCTTAGGTGCGATTACAAGTGTTGTTGGAGCAGGCGTTGGGTCGGATAGGGAGATGGTTGATGATGGCTCGGCGGAAGCTATTGACGATAACCCAGATGCGGACTCATCATCCTCGATCGAAGAAGACATGGCTTTGGTGACGGCAAGGAATTGCAGTAATTGCACACAACTCTAAGCTTATATGCCAGGCCGATTCGACTACAAGCCGCACCACGAGTGCTCTGCTTGCCGTCAACTCGGCGTATCAATGACGATCGTCACTCTTGTCCATCCGGCAATGCGACCAATGGTTTGCGTTCTCGTTGAATAAAAGGGCGCGTGAAAAGATTCGCTAGGCAGACAATCTGCAGTGTGGGGTTTCGGGCAGACTTGGCTATATCTCAGCTGCAGACAAGAAGAAGCGCGTGAAGAATATCGAGGACAGCGTCTCTGGCAATGTCGAAGGCCATCCGGGCGTAGGTATTGCAGAGGAACGAACCGATGGGGATAGATATATAACACAGACGGGAAAGACAAGAAATGGTGACAAATGGGTGAAAGGAAAGGAAAGGTTCGTACCCAAGAAACGACAAGAACCAGCCAAGCAAAGCAAAGCAAACAGCAGACAAGTCCATAGCATGCCTGCCGAGCAGCAGCAGCAGCAGCAGCGAGACGACGGGTGCGGTAGCGTTGGTGTTCCCCCTTCTGAGGCCTTTGAAGGCTTGGCGAAATCTTATCACGGGTGGGTGCCGAGAAACGCCAAGGCCTGGATTGCACCGAAACACGTCCACGTTGACCGCTGTGAGTTCTGGGCAATGCCGCATTGTCCTCATTGTCATAGTCGTAGCAGTAGTATTGTACCTAGCTCCAGGTGAGGTGAGCTTCTCCCTGGCTACAGCCCATGGTCGTCACGGATAGTCGTTCAAATAAGGTATAGGTTTATACTGAATGTCATCGTCAAGCCTCCATCATAAGACACGCGCAAGCCATCACAGGTTACTGCGGAAGCGTTGTGGGAGGGGCCCAGTAGCTTACGAGGGCCAATGCTCATCATAGTGGGCTCGTCCAGCCTAAGCCGAGCCTTTTGGCCCCAGTGCCACGGTCTTGGCTGATGAGTATCGAATTGAGAGTCTCTGACGCGGGAAATGAAGGCCGCCTTGGTTTGTGCCGAATACGCCGGCTTGGAAGTCTTGGAACATGCACCCCAAGCCGCGACCATGAGCAACCAATGCCACTCCCTAGATAAAAAGGCAGAAAATTCCGTCTTGGCCGTAATTATCAGTCATGAGATCAATTCACCGTTCTACTTTCTCAACTCACTTTTACATTCCCATTACCGAAGAGAAACCGACTTGACTTGTTTAAGCGATTGAATGTCAATTGACTGTCAAAGCACAACGCCCAGTAAACTTGATACTCTTGGCGTTGCACCGCCAATGTAGGACGAAACCATACGAAAAGATGACAAGGAATCAATAATCATAAGATGTGCTGAAGAAGGCGAGCCGCGAGTCTTGGCTGGATCTGTTCGCTTCTTTATCCCAATCAGCGTCTATTCTCAGACGATTTGTAGAGGGAAAAGGGAATAGAGTTGCTCAGAAGCTCGGTTGGCTGCCGAGAGATCATGGCTGGTGAAAGCAAACTGCCAATAAGGTTACAGTAGCACATGCCAGCCAGCCAGGGCAACCACTTATACGGCTAGATGATTGAAGATCAAGTGCCAACTCAACAAGCTCGCCGGGAGTTGAAGGAGTAGGTACCTACACTATTCAAGATAACTACCGGTCTCGTCGGGTCTACGCCATCCTTTCATGGCATTGTACAGTATCTGAATGTGATGCCCATTACACTATCTCGTATAAATGTTGTTGTTGTGATGGACCAGTGTACTATCAATATCGATAACATTCCAATCGAATGTCTTCACTAATACACAGTGATCTAGAAGCTATCGATGTGAATAGACTCGAGATATGGTGTTTCTATGAGGTTAGGACCTAATAATTCGTGAGACGATGAAAGAGCTTCGCATCCCCACGAAATATCGGAATCGCGGCGCTCATTTCTTCCGTCGTCAGAACTAGGTAGGGTACGTACCGACCCAAATTTTCCACAGTTTTGAAAATGATCACGTGATGAGGGGGTGAAGGGCAAGAACCCTACATCGCTCTTTCCCTGTGCGCCTAAGCGATTGTTGCAACAACCGCCTTCAAATCGACCCCAGCCAGGCCATCAGTTTTCCGCTCAGCGAATTCAACAACACAACACCGCGATCATGGCTGACGAATACGTACGTGTGCTCTCGATATACCCCTTCCCCTCTGGAAATAGAAAACATACACCCGCCGCGGACATGGCACCCTCGACTCCCGCCCGCTACCAACGATGATGATGAACGATAGTGGAGAGATGGAGAGAATACAAAAAAGAGCTTGACTGACTTGTGTTCCGGATAACAGGACGCCGAGCAGGCTGCCGAGCTCAAGAGAAAGAGAGCCTTCCGAAAGTTCTCCTACCGAGGAATCGACCTTGATCAGTATGTTGCCACTGCACGATTTCTGCGCCTCGATTGCTGGAAGATGAAGACTTGCGAGGACGCACCCCCGAGCGAACGGAACCCATGCTGATGTTTGATTTTTCTCCACTCCACAGGCTCCTCGACCTCTCCTCCGACCAGCTTCGCGATGTTGTCCACGCTCGTGCCCGCCGCAGGATCAACCGTGGCCTGAAGCGCCGCCCCATGGGTCTCATCAAGAAGCTCCGAAAGGCTAAGCAGGAGGCTCAGCCCAACGAGAAGCCCGACCTCGTCAAGACCCACCTCCGAGACATGATTGTCGTCCCCGAGATGATTGGCAGTGTCATTGGTATCTACTCCGGCAAGGAGTTCAACCAGGTCGAGATCAAGCCTGAGATGGTTGGTCACTACCTGGCTGAGTTCTCTATCTCATAGTACGTTTCTACCCTCGACCATCAACAAGGGGAAATATGACTAACCCTCCCTCCAGCAAGCCTGTCAAGCACGGTAGGCCCGGTATTGGTGCCACGCACTCTTCTCGATTCATTCCCCTCAAGTAAGAAGGTTGCGGTCTCGGGTGGTTTCTGCATTCATGGACATTTTGGGCGAAAAGGACTGGTTCTGGTAGATGGGCAAAACATCTATCAAAAACACTGATGACAATGGGTACCATGATTAGTACAATAAAGGAGCATTGTCCGCTTGATGACTACCCTCGACTACCGCTGATGCCTGACAATTGTGATAACGCTTCTAGAACCCAATGCTTCCAAACTCTTCCTACCCTGACCTGCTGAAATGAAAAGCCTCAAGTTCTTATGACATCATTCCAGACGTTCGGCGGTCCTGAATATGTTGTGCGGGTCAAGTTTTGCGAGAAATTCTTTGAATTGGCGTTTCCGCCATTTCCATTTAGATTCCTTGGTGTGGCAAAGTGAACATCTGAGGCGTGATCGGGCCTGACTGAAGTCAATCAATATCTCCTCGCCTGCTCTGACATCCTTCTCAAGCGTCAACGTAATGTCGTAAGTTTCAGCAACTATGAATGTTGCCTGCGCACAGCCTGGGCAACCATGGTTGATGTTTGGAGCCAAAGCCTTGTTAAGACCAGTGGTCATCGCAGGGTTCGGGCAGGCGTTGTCTCGTTTGAACTTGTCGTAGCATATGGATATCGGCGCGTTACAGTTGATTTTCTTCATTTCGCACAGGGAAGCAAGATCATTAGGAGGTTCTCTGGGTACAATGGGAGCAACAAATATTGGGTGTTTTGCGCCGGTGATCTGGTAGCCATGAGTAAGGTTACGACGGGCAAAAACTCCAGTTTTGCCTTTGACTCCTGTATGGTGGCGAATTTCGATGTCTCTAGTCCGTCGATCAACCTTCCAGTTTGATGATGAATTTGCAGTGTTCATGTCTTTGGGAGTTAGATTGTATGAGTATCTTGTCACAGGTTGTTTGTTTTGTTCTTACCGCTGCTCCGACCGCTCTGGTTAGCCGTCATGTTGCTATAGGTAGTCTCCTATTAAGATAAACTCCGAGCTAGAAAAAGACTGTTTGGGTTTAAACGGATGATGATGGCTGATGTTGATGAATTATTGTTGAAAGTACCTGTTTGGAAGAGAGATGGCAAAGCGAAACTCGACTTCGCGGGATGGATGGTCAGAGCTAGGTAATGCAAAGCAAAAGCTAACGTTAGGTGAGTGTTTGGAAAGAGCTAATCGCCACCAGAGAGCAAGTGCTTTGAGGCAATGGTGTTGACAATGGGTATCGAGAAGGAGCGGGAGTCCGTTTGAAGAGCGCACGGGGCGAACTTGCTTCGATATGTTGGGTCAAATTGAGGAGGTAACTGTGTTGAATAACTCAATAGAAAAATGAATTCATAGGTATGTCTGATTCATGGCTAGTTTACAACACTATTCCTCCTTCTGTGCCAGTTTGGCAGCTTTCCGCTCCTCCTCCTGGATATGCTTTTGTCGGTAGTGCTCAACGACGTAGTCCATGTTGGCCAGGTGGCCAGCAACATTGTTTCGGGGAGCATACGAAGTCATTGCCCTGTTTCTCTGATTAGCAATGGTTCTTGCAGCAGTTACTTTCCGTCACTGAAGAGAAGGTGGCAGCCTCCGTCGATTAACAGCAAGTAGTATCAGGTGGACGAACTCGGGATAGGCAACATCAACAAACCGGTGCTTGTTGCCGCCATTCTCGAAGAGGTTTCGGTCGTAACCAGCCTGCTCCATGGCCTTTGTATGAAGCGCATTGATATCCTCCCAGTCCTTTCCACGGGAAGTGTACTTGTCGATGAGGCTGAGGATTGAGGACTGCTCGCCCTCCTGAGGAACGAATTGGTAGACGAGAACGGAGCCGAAGAAACCGCCGACAGCGAGGAGAGAACCGGTCTAGGGATCATAATCAGTAAATTATTTTCAATCGAAGCCATCCGATTGCGTTGGTGTCGGCGTGAGCTCCGTGGTGCAAGCTAGTGTGACTTGACATACGCTGAACGACTCGTTGACTTCTGGGGCTTTGTGATGGGCATGGGCGTCGGAGGCGTAGGTTCGCGCCGTCCTTTGCAGCTGACGAGCCACGCCGGCTACCCTCTGTCGTGCGACGAACATGTTGGGCGGGTTGGGCAGCGTTCAATTGAGCGATTGATTGTGAGGCTTTCGTGGGAAGAAGCCGCACCAAGATCAACAAGTGAGGTTGTCGCCGGTCCGAGATGTTTACGTAAGGCAGTTTAAGTGGTTGGCCAATTGGGTTATAGGTGTTTACCATTGGCTACTCCACGTCGAGCATGGCATGGGGTTACATAGTAGAATCAACAGAACTTTGCCAAAGAGAGGCAGGAAAACTTGTGACTTCTTTTCGAAGTGATAAAGAGACTTTTGTGGTTCGACATATCTCAGCAAACCCTTATGTTAGTTTATCTCGGCATCTTGATTTAATGTTGGAAGATTTCTTGCTTCCTGAGGGCTTGTACGTATATATATGAAGAAAAGTCGTTGTTTTTTGTTAGTATTGCCGCGAGCATGCTGTTCTCTCTACTGGGGGCTTCTTATGTTTTCTCATGAACTTATAATCAGTCAGCAATGACATGAGTGTTAGTCTTCGAATGCTGTCAGATATGGAGCTATTGGACCTCAGTGAAGGGCATGATGGATTCTCCACATTCTCAAAATCGCTGAAGGACCAGGGAGCGCGCATAAGAATATTAACATGCTCAAGCTTTACTATCCATCACACATCTGTAGCAATAAACGACATGTAAATTTTAAATCCAGGGTGTAGTATGCCTCATCCATCCCATCATTGTAAGCGACAAGAGCTAGATCCTCGATTTGCGCCACAATTTTACTTGAGCATCACCTACCCGGGAGCGATATCAACTCCATATAAATCAACACAGCATTTTTCGATACGCTTCCATCACCGCATTATTAGTGATGATTTCCTGATCATATTCACTCGGCTCTCAGAGACTCATTGACCTTGTTAGAAACTTATTGTACCACTTTGTAGTCAAGCGGTTGGCACACAATTATCGGGTCGTTCTTGAGCATTCGTTCCGTCTCAATCTTAGTCGAGATGAGCCGAAAAGTAATTAACCAATAACCCCAGATTCTGGAGTCTCAATCTTGATGCGTTTATACGGCCTTAAGCTATAAACCATTTCCAAGTAATATCATATAGTCAGCTCTGCTCCTCCTGGGCTTAAATGGCTAGGATCTAGCTTCTAAGCTCCCGAGGCTCCCCCCAATGTGGAACGCAGCAGCAATAGCCTAGGTTACTTTCTCTAGTACCACAAACATCATCACAAGAGAATTGATGAACCCAGCTATGATTAAAAGCTTGGGAGGATAAATCCAAAACCTGTTCATCAGAAGTGGCTGAAGCTACCACAAGGTTTAGCAAGATCGACGTGACTAGCCCTAAATTGTGTATCGCGCCTCTTCTGGCGTTCTCTAACCAGTAGACAGTGACAACATGAAGCCCTTCCAGCCTTTTAAGTTAAAATTTCCGGCATGACGCTGCCGTGGTCCTGATTATGAGATTAGAAAGTTCAACGCTGGCAACTCTGACGACGAACTTGTAGGAACCAACCTCAATGAAGAGCTCACCAACACACCAAACAACAACTGCCGTTGTGAAGCCTCTCACGGGCTACCCCCGTCAGATGAGTTTGAGGTCGCCCTGAGCTGTCAGTCAATGGATTGAATGGAGCCAGCGAAGCGGTCATGAACGTTCTTCAAAATCCTGGCGGTTGAGATGGAGATTCTGGCCCATCCAATTCGTCCATAGCAAGCTCAGAGGAACACTCAGCAGTATCCGGGGAGACCAATTGGGATAGAAGTCAATGAAGATGGCTGGTCTAGAATATGACGGAAGAGGTGCAATGCATATGCGGCGCCTCGATCAAGATGACACTCCAGTGCTTTGGCTCCATGCAGGACCAAGTCATGGTTCCGAGTGACCGTCGTAATGATTAGATTTGACAAAGTTAATGCTTTTCCTGATGACGGAAGATGTGATCTTTGAAGACGAATACTGGCTGATACTCAAGATCTTGATTAAGTGGGCATCAGGCAAATGCATCAGCTGAGACTGAGAGCCATGTTCCTTTGTGAAACCTGATCGAGATTGTTATTGCATGATGGGCGGAGGTATTGGGCCGGTGATTTACGCTGGAACGAAATCGATGGAAGAAATAGAAAATGCTAGTCGTTTGCTGGATGTTGACTTTCACAAGTACCGTATGTACAAACCTGCAGGCGGACGATTTCCCCCTGTCTCACGTAGATTCTACATCATCCCGTGTTTTTGACAGGCAGCAAGGGGGCAAACATCTCGCAGCAAATTATAGGACGCCATTTATCAGGTATCGTTTTTGACGACACGAGACGCACAATATTACTCACGATGCCATGATGAGGCATGACGTGAAAATAGTGATACAAGCTGCCTAGTCAGGTTATTCGTGATAAGGATCATGAAATGCCATGTGATAGAAGGAAAAAAAGTTACATTGAGCTGCCTGGGTGGTTATGCGTGTAAGAGGCAAAAGCCCATCTAGAATGCCAAGCTTGGGGTGCGCGCCAAGTTTAGTTACAATGGATCATACTTGGCCATACCTATCAGAGACATTCCCCGCGAAAAAAACCCCCCAGGAATGGAGTCAAGACAAGACAAGCCGAGACGCGTGTCATCCTATCCAAAGCTGCAGACAAAACCGTGCCCTTTTTGCTTCTTGTCAGAAAGGCGAGAATACCCGCTGATGGGGGGACATAGTTGCAATAAAGTGCCTCATTGTGATTGCATATCCTTGCAGTAGCTTCAGAGCCAAGGTAACCTCCGTATCGTCCCTTGCAACTTATTAGTCAAGGCTCTATTTGCCTTTGGATGTTCGCAAATGGTACAATGCGGGGAAAGCTCTTTTTGCTGGTCACGGATGCATCGATCCCTCTTGGTTATTGGCAGGAGAAGGCACACGGCACACGCTTTCAGAAAAACAAAAAAGTCTGGGCTCTGAATGAGACCTTTCAACCTACCAATTCACGACCTCTGGGCTGACAATTTCTTGAGGCCAGACGATTAATGCTGAGCTGGCGCTGGCGCTTCAACACACACCCTTTCATCCTCCAACTGCCTTCCTTGTCTGTCAATACTAAGTGGTTTGTACGTCCCCCAATTCTGTTCCGAGTATTCCCTTTGAGGAGATGAATAGTCATATGATGGCGTTCTGTGGTCACACACATACTCCCTCCGATTTGTCTCCCCTTGCTGTCTCTCTAATTCATTCACACAACACATAACTACATACTGTACTGTACTCGGCCATCGGGTTATCTGGATGTTTCCCTCTCCCTTTTCTGATCAAAGCCTAACTCTATTATCCCAACGACTACTACCTTGCCTACGTGCGTCATGCAACTGTCACTCGTGGTACTTACACTCCGAGACTTCTAGTTAAATCTTACGGAAGATTTACGAAAGGTTAAAAAGGGTCCTAGAGCCCCCTGGAATCCTGCCTGCCCTGCTTCTCTGCTTGTTTGGTTGGATAAAAACAATCTTCGTCGACACACTTTCTTTACTTATGCCTGAGATACGTCCAAGCCTCCTTCAACAATATAAACAACATTCGCAGCTGCGCCTCTGCGTGCTTACGTTGTCGATACACAACGAGGCCTCACCATATCTGTGTTACAGCTAGATAACCAGGCGTTTGGCCGTTTCGAAATTTATTCTTTACATTAAGCTTCACGGCTATCTATCAACAACCTTCATCTGCACCTTGGCCTCCACATCCCAACGCTTTTACATATCATCCCTCCCTCCCTTCCTTCCATCCATCCTTACATACTACAACAAATACATCGTGCCTACATACCTTTACCACATACTACTGCATACTTTCCCCTACATATTACATATTCTTCCATTGTACAACCACATCTCATCACCATGTGCCATACCGTAATCGCCCAGCGGATGTGCAAGGATTGCCGCCATAGCCTTGGTGAGACGGTTATCGACTTCACCCGCTGCGCTCGTAAATGCTCGAGCCCGTTCTACTGCCTTACCCCGGAGCCTCAGATGGAACTATGTAACCTATGTACCGCGACGGCGACACTATCTACACCGGTACTCGCACAACATGCTCTCGAGGATACTACCACTGCGGCGGCGGCAGCCGCAGCAGCAGCTTCAGCTGGTGCAAGGCTCTACGATCAATCTATCGCAAAGGCTGCAGCATATCCGGGACCTGGAGTAGCCCGTCACACTGCGGCTCATTAAGACCTCCCCCATAGACCACCTCGACGGTGGCTTTTGCTACGACATCGATATTTAGGACGTTTATTAATGTAAGATCTTGAGGGAAATTGAAACGACGAAACGAAATTCCGCAAAAATAGGGTTGGGAATGGATATGGGTATGACACGGGCAACCGGCACAGGATCACAGGCGCATAAGGACGGACAGCATTCATCAATGCTCTACTTGCTTCACATCACATCACATCATTTTATTTCACTATACACACTTGATTTCGTATGTAGTGTCACACAGGCACATAACCCCGGTGAGGACCACTCTACTGGTATGAGATGGAACCGGAGGACTGGTCAATGGTACCGAACCAAGAGCTGGGGCAAGGGTGTACAGAAGAATCAGAAAACACAATCGTTGACTTACGGCAATAAGCTGAGTAAGATACAATAGCCAAAGAACAATAAAAACTTGATCAGGATGGAAAGCATTGTATTGTATTGCACTGTCCAGTCTAATCCCTCATCTCGAATTCGAGTTCGGTCGGCTATGGCTCAGCGCCGTCAAGCCCCTGTTCTGCGGGCGAGCGGGCGGGTGTCCGGCTCCTGTTCCCGCCCGCTACTAGACCACCTATCGAGTTTGAGATAAGGTAAGGTACGGGCAACAAAAGTGAGACTATTGAATGGACCTCTCAGGACCTCTCAGGACCTCTCAATTAGTAGGCTAGTTCCAACTATCCGTACATGCTCAATTTATCCGGGTACAAAGTCAGCTGGATGCCTTCTAATTCGCGCAAGCTCTCACTTGGGTGTACCAAGAAGTGCGAATAAATGCATGTGTACTCCGCATGTATAGGTGTCCTAGACAACAGTACATAGGTACCCTGAAACGCTGAACCGATCAGCAACTGCACTTTCATCGAGACACACTAACAAAAACGCAGGGAACATCCCCTCAATCACAGACAGTCACAAACCACTATCACAATTACTCACGCATGCGCTCACGTCCAGTCCATATAACACAAGCCGCCTGTTGCACCAAAATTTAAACACAGTCGTCCTCATGACTCGGAAAGCTCGTCTGGCTGCAAGGGGAGGGTTACCTGAGTTCCTTCTCAGAACTGTGAACCACAAGTATTAAGGGGATATTACGTGCCGACACCTCGCAGACAAGTAGCTGCTACTGCCAATCCTGCCCGAATCGCGAAGATTGTTCATCCAGTTGCTGGCAAGAAGGCAGTGGCCACCCGAGGCTGCGGTTCACGGACCAGACTGGAGACCCAATTGCAGGTGGCAGACAGGCAGTACCTCACCTTACCTTATTTCATGGGTATCTATATTCATCCATCAAATCCATGCAAGCGCAAACGGACTTTTTCACTGCAAGGCCTTGGGGGGTTTTCAACAACGATCCTTCCTTCACTGACCTCATGGAACGGCTGTTTGCATTCACCGGAGCCTTCTTTCCCAACGTTGCAAACTTACCTTTCCTTACAAGCTCTTTTTCAACGTCTTCGCCATGGCTTCAACAAAGTTTGCACATCCAACACCATTTCTGGTTACAACCTCGCCGCGACTTGAACCACCACCTTTAAGTTGCAAACATATTTATCAGCATCATACCAATACTCATACTTCGATACCTGCCATGAGTAGTCTGTACGGAGTCATCGAGAGGGCCAACAAAGCCAGCCTTCTCGATGAGTATGCAAGCCTGTGGAAGTTGTTCATCGAAGGTATCGACGAAGTTGTGGGATATGTCCGGGAGGAAGACTGCATGAAGATCCAGTGGGACGCTAAATGGTTTCATTGTGAAACGGTTAATAAGAAAGGCGACGAAGTTCGGAGAATTACCATCGTAAGGAGTAACAACTACCTTGCTGTTGACGGGATTTCCCACGTTCCCTCTCCTGCAGAAGCTTGCAAGATCGCATTTCAAAAGCTCTTAGCCGCCAACGCAGATAAGTTCCCCGCCTTCAGTCTGTGGAAGGTGACAGAGGAAGCAGATCAGGAGTATTGCCCGATTCACCTAGCTGATCCAGGAGTCAACATCTTGCCCTTGCGCATTCCTTTGCCATTACGAGGAGTCCTGGGGGTCTTAACGGTGGGCGTTCATCTTAATGTCTACAGAGTAAAGGAGGAAGATGGCAAGGAAACCATTGATCAAATTTGGGTCTCACATCGCTCCAAAGACCCCAGCTACAGCTATCCTGGGATGCTAGATCAGATCGTAGCTGGAGGCGCAGATACCAACGACACGATAGATGGACAGCTAGCTCCTTGCAAGACGCTGGCACGGGAGGCAAGAGAGGAGGCTGGGTTGACCATAGACCACCAGACACGACAAGTATTCTTTGAGGAAATGGGGGGCGGTGATGGGGATAATCAGATGCGTATCCACGTTGGGACCGTAGAGAGGGCTTCGTCCATTACGTTCTTCGACCTCAAAGACGAGAGTGCGGGTGACTTCTACAACAAGCACCTCGAGCCCGGCCTGCGATTCGCCTACGATCTCAAGATCACCAACCCAAGCTTTCGACCGAAGAAGATGGAGAGCGCAATCGAGAGATTTGAGCCCATGGGAGTACCTGAAGTGACGGAAAGCCTGAGCAGCAATCGATGGAAGCCTAACTGCGGACTGGTGATGCTGGATTTTATGGTAAGACATGGACTCATCACCAAGCACGACGAAAGCCGATTCGAGCGAATCAAGAAGGACCTACGCCGACCGCTGTGCTTCGCTTTCCTGACGGAATTACAAAGCATCACTAAAGGGTGGTAGGAGCTTGGTCACAGAATCGAAGAAGATGGCACGGGGTTCAAATTGTAGAATGGGTGACTGAGAACAAAAGTCGAATTGCATTCGCAGGGGCAGGCGATGGTTTGTACAATAGTGTGACATGATCGATTATTATTAATGTACTTGCTTTGCCTCCCTCATCCCGTGATGATTACCGGCTCAGACGGTCGATTGTTCTGCGAGTCGCGGAAAATCAGCGAAGCCGTGTACCTCGAGCTCGTCGCCTCGGATCTTGACGGGTGGCGAAGGTAAAAGGGTGAAGCAGATGCGACAAACTTCAGTTCCAGTGTTCTTCCAGGCGTGATTAGTTCCCCTCTGGATGATAATGTCGCCTCTGCGGAAGGTCTTGGTGGCCCCATTGTCGAGGATACAGTCAATCTGGCCCTCAACGATTATGCCATAGTCGACACTGGCAGTCCGATGCATGATAGCGGGGAAGCCAGGCCAAAAGTCGACAACTCTAAGGGCAGAGCCAGAAGCTGGAGCAATGTCCTTCTCGGTGGGATTTTCTCTGTATGACTTGAGGTCGTTGTCACCTGTCAGAGTGTTGGTGCCATCCTCGTTCACATATGAGACGTGAGTCGTGAAGCCACCGCTGCGGTTCCCCTCAACTTGAATGGGGATAGTCTCATCCCAGATGGCGTTCCCGTTGGAGTCATGGGTGGTGATGAATCTCTTGACGGGAGGGAGTGGTTTGGCTTCAGAAAGCATATTGAGGAGAGTGTTTTGTTGACTGTCAACTATGTTGGTTGTTGTGTGGTGGTGTTTGAGAACTTCGGTCTTTTGCTTGCTGGCTTGCTCGGTTGATGGTGATGATTATGCTGATAGAGGGAGAAACACTTGCTTCTTTATACTGTCCGGCTCCATGGCGAATATTACACTTCTAAGCAAATGGCATGAGACGGCATGTCCCTTGAGAAATATGATCCTGGATGGTTAGTTTCTGCATGATGATTAGCCAATCAGGCTTTAGCTCTGTCACTTCCACAATAGATTCCTGTTGCAAAGCACGGGTCGTATCTGATCGGTGTTTTGCAGGTCGGTCTCATCTTGAAGCTTTGAAATCTCGCTGTTCCGTGGAGTTTCTCTCAAGTGTTGGTGTTGGAACAACATTGGTAAGCACCCAGATCCTTCGACAGGGTGTCACTGTATAGTTACCGTTTCGGCTATAATTCTCTGAGTCATCACCGTCGAACCAGCCTCTCACTCCACAAGGCAAAGCCGGGTCGATAAGGGTCTTCCTTCGTCTCAACTCCGCTATCCATGCCTTCTCGTTTTGTCATGCGGAGACTCCGTGGAAACAATACATGACAGAGCACGGAGCTGTCGGCGTGAAAGAAGATGTTTTACAACTCAGCTTACGGCGCTTTGCCAGTAAGTTTCAATAGTGCCGTTATAGTATTGACTTTTGAGTATAAGTTAGCTGACTTTGCTGTTGACAAACTATTTGCAGGGCGTTCTCTGGCTGCTTCAAAGGTGTGCAATCTGCGCACTAGCCTGAAATTAGCTTCGTATAATCTTTCCGTGGCTAGGTATGTTTCGTGGTAAGCCAAGAAATTCAAGGCTGAGATACAACAGCCAACTAGAGAAGGAGGAGATGAATACCGAAGACTGGCTACCTTGCTCTAGGCCGTGGCTATCAATTAACGTTCTATTTGTAGCCCATGATGAATTCATGATGCATAGCAAACACTCTTTGGCGGTTTGTGATGCGACAGTTCATTGTTCCCAATAGCATGGCTAATTCCGCGAGGTAACATTGGACGGGAATAGGTTCCGCCCGGACAAAGATTTCATCGTTCAGACTGTCAATCTTGCCCTCATTCAAATATCGTCTCACAAGATTAGCAAATCCTAGCTCTGCATCGCCGTTTTCCAAGCCCTGTACGCTATGCTGTGCAAGGCTAGTCGTCAAGCCGATAACGCCCTCAAAGGGTTAGTTGCTGTTCCTATGTATGAGCTACCAAAGATTTCCCCCCTCTTGGCATCCACGCCCGCCCTACAATGAGTCGACGGAGAGAAAGGAACAAGGAGCACGCAGCCATATGTATGTACATACATAAATCGGCTGAAATGAGACCCGGCGCTGTCGTCCAGCGTCAGATTTTAGTGACTGCCCACCTATGGAGACCAAGCGGAATTGGGCGTTTATGGCCATTGCTTTTGGGACTTGAGCAATCTGCCACTCACCGAGAGGCTGATTATCCATGGCCAACCCATGCAGCAAGGTCTCAGAAGCCCACACTGTTCGGCACGGGGCGCTCCAACCACTCTTGGCGGTGAATTGAATGCCACCTCGGGGAACGTCTCGGATGGACGCTGCCTGTTGAGTTGGAGGCACAGAAAAGACAGTACCTAAAGTGCCTGGGTCATACGCTGTGATTAAGCTCAGCATAGCCAATCTCTGGCTCCATCTATCAAGCTTAACTCAACGCCCTTGGTGCTGTGGTATCGGGGAGCGACATGCTATTCTGGGCCACCTGTGCGAGGACCACTCACGAGCGAGGCGGGTATACTCACATACCCATTTCGGCAATTTGCGTCAAAAGCCAGGCAAATCAACGGAAATCACGGGAGACCACGTCTAACTCAGCCAGCCAATGAATGGCTAGAGGCAAACGCTTGATACTTAGTGTGCTGTAAGCCGTTGCCCTGTTGCTGCTAGTTGGGTTCTCAAGGTACCTCTGTCGTACAGCGCAGGTACTTTTCTCAACTATCACTCATATGGGGAAAAGTCGATGTCAGTCTTTGGTCTGATTGTTTCTATCTTTGATTATTACAGGGGAACCGCATCGTCGGCACAAAATCATTCATGACTGCGGTTGCGGAGGTGGCTTACACTTGAACACAAAATTCTTGGCCTGACGATCTTAATGGAGACGACGCCAATTGAATTGAGATACAGATACATACCTACGTTGGTTAACCATGGCCCAGAGCGGACGGACCCTTGACCACAACCGACCAGTCTCCTGCAAGTGCATACAATACTCTGTTTTGTCTATTCTGTGTTGAGAGGCCCTTATGCAACTGTGAGGCGAGCCCGAGAGCACAGCGGCCACATGCTTGAGGCGGAGCCAACTTGAACAACACAACGCGAGGGCATAACTGGATAGAGAAATTTAGACGAGGTGACGATCAGAAGATAGTTCTGTGCAGCTTTCATTGCATGTATACAGGAACTGTTGTAGACTCTAAACCTCAGTCACCCTCACCCAACCATCCTACTCAGGATCAAATTTATCGAATGCTTCCTACTGAATGGATATAGCTCCGGCTTGAACTTCGGAAGTCGGTGAAGTTGCTCCATATGGTCAACTCATCAGGATCTCTCTGCATACATCAGCCCTGGTCGAAATAGTCCCGTTGTGACCGAGCGTGACTTACAGAAGCGAATCGAGACCGATCTAGCGCTAAGCTGACCGTCAAACCACTTTATCTTGCGCTGCCAAAGACTTGATGCAGACTGAGAAATAAATACGTGACTTGACACTAGGGACTTGAAGCATATTCTATACATGTCTTTACATAAGCTTTTGTTTTATTATCGTTGTTTATAGAAATATGGACCAAATCTCTCACAGTATCATACACTGAACTCTCACCAAAATTGATCGGTCAACGTATACGGTGAGTCTTTCGCCTCTGCTTCGAACAATTTGCTTGGATCCACCAATCTGCTAGTCATGCCTTCAACAACCTGGTAATGTTGTTGGTTCTGTCTTCGATATTGAGGTGTGTACGACGAGTATTCGCTTTCTGCTCCATATGCCTACTCCATATCCAGGCTCAGATCCGCTCGTGTGTCGTCTCTGCCTTCAGCACCCCAGCAGAACGATCCATAACCACCTCTTTTCGTAGTAGTATAATGCTGTTGGTTCTGTTATCACATCTGGATCTGCCTCGTAAACGCGCAGAAGTTCACTGACTTAACCTCTTCGAGTATTCAGTCGCATGATGTTGTTGGCTCTATCTTCAACAACCTGGTAGAACGTCTGTGTTTCTCTCTTCAGCTATCCTCTTTCGTAGAAACACCATGCTGTTGGTCCGTCTTCAACGTTCACGAGACTCTTGTTTAGAAATAACCGTATTTATCCCTGCACGAGAATTAGCCTGCGTGTAAGTCAAGAGGTAAGAACAAGTATAAAGGAGAGATGATTCTTGGGTGAAAGATGTCCATCATCCTCAACACATCACTCCCTCAACCATCTCTACTCTTCTCTGCTCATCTCTTATTCTGCTACTCTCAAACACCAAGCAAATCTCTTCAATATGAAAATCAGTACCACCTTCGCAAGCCTCGTGGCTTACTGTGCCATTGGCATCCACTCAATGCCATCCAGCCCAGAAGCAGCATCTGAGCTCACCAGCCGCAACGAAAACCACCTACTGGAGAAGCGAAAGTGCTATAATGGAAAGAAGGAATACGGCTGTGATAGTAAAGGATGGTGCTGGAAGAAGTGCGGCGGCAGCGGGAACGGAAATATCGCCAACAGTGGCCCATGGTGCTGGGCCAAATGGAACTATGGATGGGGTGATGGTAACTGGGTCTCTTGTCACTCTGACAACGACTGCAAGAAGGCCTTTGCTGGTGAAGCCGACTGTGCTTGGGGCAACTGTGACGACTGTGGATGCAGCTGCTGAGGTCGGAAATGGAACCTGTTATGAGTTCACGAGAAACACGGGATTAGGTAACCAACTTGATTTCTTACATCGCTTCAACCACTTGAATATCCCACGTGATAGCCACAATAGTAGTCAGCGACTACCTCAGGTCTATTGAGTTGATACTCACTGCTGGCCGACGTCGGAGTTACATAAGCCTGATCTGTTGAGAGACTGAGCCTCCTGAAAGTCGGTTTGTTTCTTGAGCTGGGCTGGGGCTGAGTTTCAAAAGGCTGAACAGATGCTCACACCCTTGTAAGTCGCAACCTCAAGCTTTTGAATTCGAACAGGGGGTCAGTTCAGCTCGATGCGCTAAAGATCCCTCGCGCCAATGATCGCCTACCAGCAACGCCACTAGGCGCAGGGATCTCACTAGAATGACAGAATGAGCAGGGGGCTGTGATTTTGGTGCACTCAGAAAGACAGAAAAGTCCCTGGGGCTGTGGCCATTGATCTCGTCTACCTAGTCCCATCAAGGCTCACCCCTGTTGTAGGTACCCCGACACCACATGCTGGATGTACTTGGACGGTGCGCCCAATGTACCTCAGAGACGGACAGCATGTCGATGGCCTGCAAGTCTTCGCCGGGGCCGAATTGCACCTTTTGGCCCCAAATAGTACAGGCGGACAACAGACAAAACCCCCATTGACCCCTGCCTTACTGGACTTTTCCTCTTTGTCAAATACATATCGTTGCTGTGCTGCGAAGTCGGTTACTGCTCCAACACGCTTGAATAGCTTCACATCGGGGGGCACGAACTCACTTACACCGCAACATATACCATACCGTAGCTACGAGGCGAAGCTCCTCTCGCCCCTTGGCCAACAGAAATCAGGCAGTCGCATGAAAGACCTCGAACGAAAAAACGAATTTCTCAACCATCAGAATAGCGATCGAATACACCCTATCTTTGTCGAAGCGAAGGACAACAACACTGGACTACGATGCATCGCTCTACTACTCTCTTTGCTCTAGGAGCACTCAGCTCAACCGCCACGGCCGCTTGGTTGAAGTCGAACCAAGAGAGATCATGGGAACCTCCTCGACAGACCGGAGTATTTGGGGAGGAAGCTGAACTGGGTCAGGTCGCCATGGGATGGTCACCAGTACCGACGGGTGCCCCCAAACTCGCCGGTGCCATGGACATGGGCTTTGCCTTGGGCAAACGAGCCGAGTCAGACAATACTTGTGGCTACGATACAGTAGGAAGTGAGTCGATATCTGGGCGTGCTTCTTAGCGAAGCCGCAAACACGGCCCTGGAAAGACAAGACCAAAGGGTCGATCTCCAAGTGTTCAAACTAACATGACCTGCGATAGATTCCTTTACTTGTACGAACACCCTATCCGCCACTTGTACTTTGTCCGATGGTTATGTTGGCTGCTGTGATACTGCGAGATCTTGCAACTCGGTCAAGACAACTTGCATCCCCTACTCGCGATCTCGTGACGAATGCACATCCTTTTCAGATCTTCATACTCTCTGCTGGTACGTGCCTGTTATTTAATCAAGAAAAGGAATGTCAATTGATTTGTTGCTAACTTGATATTAGTGGCCAGCGCGATCGTCCCAACTGCTTTGAGTGGGTTGCGACCACAGGTGTCGACGAGTTCACATTATTCGACTGCTCTGCCGGCAACGGCACCTCTGTCCTGCTTTTGTCTGACCCTTTAGCCCTGTCTTCGACCTCGGGCGACGATTCGTCCACTACTGGCAACCCCTCTACGACCACCGACGATGGATCGTCCACAACGACCAGCGCTGCGGCAACCTCCACAAGTGCTGATAACGGCGGTGGCGGCAGCAGTACCAACGTTGGCGCCATTGCTGGTGGTGTTGTCGGTGGTGTCGCTGCTCTCGCCCTCGTTGGCCTCGCTGGTTTTCTTCTGTTCCGCCGCCGCAACAAGACAACTCCTGCTGCTGCTGCTGCTGCTGCTGCTACACCCGGCGATGGTACACAAAACCAACCTCCCATGGCCCAAGGACCCCAGAGCCCAGGGCCCAGCTTCGTACCCTCATCACCTTCCAACGCCGCCTACCCCTCTGGAGTCCCTTCAAACTACCAGGGTGGTTACCAGCAGGCATACGACCCCTCATTGGCAGCTCCCTACGGCCAACCCCAAGGATACCAACAGCCTGGATATAGCGGCTACTCTCCTCAGCCCCAGAACTTCCAGGGCCAGTACCCTCAGCAAACACAGTATCCTTCTCAGTATGGCGTCGGCGGCTACGGAGCCCCATCCGCATCACCCCCTCCTCATTTCACGCCCAGCCCGGGTCCCAACAAGGACGGCCCCGAGGGCGCCCCTCAACAGCATGTTCAGGAACTACCTGCTGTCCAACCTTTGGGAAATGAGGGCAACAGAGCTGAGCTGAGCTAGACGTGTCGTTGGTGGTTTCATGGGAGTAATGGGAGTTTCATTCTGGACGATGGAGGATTCATAAAGATAGCAGGTTTTTTTTTTTTGCAAAGACATGTGAGGTTTCACACTTGAAGGGATTCGCATGAATATTTGATTGCATGAGTTGGTATATTTTTGTTCTCAGAACGAACCTAATGGTTTATTAGTTGACGAATTTACAAACATGATAATGCCAAAGCCAAACTTGCTTATTCCACAAAACCATAAAGTGTATATGCTAATAAAGAAATCTTTCTGACCATTAGTCACCATTACTTCAGAAATCCATCGCCAAGCTGACATTATGCATGCCTGTGAGTTTCCAGTTTCTCTCCAACAGCCTCGTTCCACCATTCTTTCCAGTCAAGCACCTTACGACCAAGTCTCGCCTCCTCAGCCGCAAAGACCATAGCATGGCTTCGCAGCACCTCCTCAAGAGTGCATCCAATAAACTCATCTTGAGCACGAGGAGCCTCCCAGTCATGATTCTTGACGCGATCACATGCCATGACAAACTGGCGTGTCAGACCCAAGTCTCCGCCACCATGGCCAAGATCTTCGACACGAGGATGATATGTCTTCACCTCGCCTGTGTTGAAATCCTCAACAACGATGCGACGTGAATTAGCGTGAACCTCGCCATGTTCGCCATAAAAGTTAGAGTAGCGTTCGCAGATCTTAGTTGTCTGAGCGACCATATGCAGAGTAGCTGTCTTTGAAGGCTTGGTGGACTCGGGCCAGGTAATGGTGACGAACTGGTCGTCACAGACATTGTTGTCAGCTTCAAAGACACAACGACCGAACCAGTTACGAGCTTGGATCTCCGACTTTGGTGTAGACTCGTCGTAGTCTTCCTCCAGAGCCTTGATCAACATTTCTTCCTTCTTCTGGTGGGAGGGGTAGTCTTCAATGTCATGGACGACGATACTGACTGGCCATCTTGTGTTGCCGGCCTGCAGACCCTTGAGTTTGGGGCCCAGGTAAATGTTCTTTGCAGAGAATTTGCACCCTTCGTCTCCGAGGGGGCATTTCATGCAGTTTGTTGCCGACCCTGCAGCCTTGGGCTTACGACTTTTCTTGAAGAGATGAAGGTTCCCAGCAGATGAGACCGTTTCAGGGAGATGTGGCTCTCCCTGTCCTGGTTTCTCAGGAGAGCAGAGCAGCCAGAGCAACAGATCGATATCGTGGCAGCTCTTAGTCAACAAGGATGGCGCAGTGGTATTCTCGTTGCGCCAGTTTCCCCTGACATATGAGTGCGTGAAGTGCCACCAACCTATTCATATTTTAGTCAGTTACATATCAAGCATCGGCTTGTATTTTCTAAGGGATCTATGATTTTGTGCCATCTTTACTGACCTACGGGCTCTGTGTGTACAGCGCTTGAAATTTCGCCGATGACACGCTCCTCAATGAGAAGCTTGCGGAGCATGATGTTGTGTGGGCTGTATCGCAGCACATGGCCGATTGAGAAGATCTTGGTGGATTGAGAGGGACGCATGGCCTTGTACATGTCGATGCAGTCTTGAAGGGAACACGCAAGAGGTTTCTCACACATGATGTGTAGCCCTAGTGGTGCAAGACCGACGATAACCTCACGGTGCATCTCGTCGAGTACGCAAACAAAGACTCCATCAACACCTTCCGGTACATTCTCTTCACCCGAAGCAGCTCGCCTTCGACGATCCTGCTCATATGCAAAGAATTCTCGCCAGTCATGGAAAGACTGGCCTTCTCCAGGGGAGCCTTCACCCCAGATGTGAGCTCGGCCGAGGGACTCGCGCTTGAACTTCAAGGGTTCAGCAACAGCGGCGACAACGCCATTGGATACGCTGTCGATTGCTGAGGCGTAGTTCTGCCCTCGTGATCCAGCGCCGATGATGAGGAAGCGCGGTGGTGCCACTGACATCTCAGGCTTGGGAGGGGGTTTGGAGACAAGAGTCTCTGGTTGTGGTTCGGTATCTCCATCTTGAGCATTGGTAAGCTTTGTTAAGACGTTCTTCAGTTGAGACATGGTAAGAAATGAAGACTCATAAATCAAGTAGCGAAAGTGTGTAGACACGATAATGTTTGTTTATATATGTGTTCAAGGCTGTTAAAGTTAAGTATCTGCCTTGAGGGGGATTAAATGAAGAAGCCAGACATCCGATGTAATTCGCGGGTGCCTCGCAGGCAGCACAAGGAGAGCTATTATCGTACGGAGAATCTCTGCTGAATAATCACAAACAAAAGGACCTATTATGCGTGATACGTATTCTCAGTTGAGGCTGAAAGCTGTGTCTTTGCGGAATTGTTTTCGTATATCGTGTGGTTGAAGTTAACAATGACGGCCAATGAGGTAGAGCTCATTAATACACGCAACGTTCCAGCGCATTGATTAACTGTAGGCATGCACTAACTGGAAGTTTAATGGGTTCTGAATGGATCATACCCCACTACTCGAGTACTGATCTCTTAGAGAAAAGCCAGATTCAAACATCAACGTTACATTGCAACCACCGAGACTCACAACAATGTCGACAGTAGCAGAAGTGCAGGCTGATAACCAGCCCAAGAGCGCCAGCGATGATCCTCTTGTCTGGATTGACTGCGAGGTATGTACTGCTACGTGGTACAAGGAGCATCAACTCACATCGTCGACAGATGACTGGCCTGGATCAAGACAACGACGAAATCATCGAGATCTACTGTATTATCACCACAGGAAATCTCGAGATTCTTGATGAGGAGGGGTTCCACGCAATCATCCACTTCCCCCAGTCCCGTCTTGACCAAATGGACGAATGGTGCACAAAGACACACGCAGACTCTGGCCTCACCGCTGCTGTTCTCGAATCCACAACTACTCCGGAGCAAGCCGCAGACGCTCTGTATGAGTACATAACACGCTTCATCCCTGAGCGCAAACGTGGTCTTCTTGCGGGTAACAGTGTGCATTGCGATAGGGCGTTTCTGCGACGTGAACCCTACAAGCGGGTCATGAGACATCTGCATCACAGGATTCTTGACGTGAGTTCTATCAAGGAGGCTGCAAGACGCTGGGCAGCCAAGAGGATTGTGAATAAGGTTCCCAATAAGAAGGGTCTGCACAAGGCGAGGGATGACATTCTGGAGAGCATTGAGGAGGCTAGATACTACAGGGAGGTCCTCTTCAGGCCGACGTTTGATGTTGTGCCTGCCAAGAACAAACCTAACAAAGGAAAATAATGAATTGGTAACAGTTTGTATTGTATGGGAAAAGGTGGGTTATCAACTGGCCAATACTCCTCATGCCGACGTGACTTTTCGAGTTGTCATGATTGAACTCTTCCGCCAATGCACGCCTCCATGACATGATGAGAGCAATACTAGATCGACTTCATAACTGACAGATCAAATACTCTTTTTTGAATGTCTCCAACATTTGAGTACCCAATGGGGCATCAATTACTCATTCTAGGGTTTTACTCTTGGTTCTTCTCTTCAAGCCATAGCCATATTATGTTCTCTGAGTTTCTATCATGGGGACCGATCTCATATTTACGTGAGAATGCTGTCTCCCAACGAAACAAAGCTCACTGTGATGGACTGTGTTTTCGCACCTAACTATGCCTAGAATATACAGTGCTAGTTGGTTGGCCCCTCCATTAGCTCGAGTGATATCATCTCGTCGAACCCCACCACAGAGCTCCCTCAAGCTCCCCTCTTTTTGTCTCAGTCGCCTACCGCTGTCTTCTGGTTCCTTCTCCTCTTTGTATCCTCCTCAACAATTCTCCTCGTAATTATAGCTTCTTATCTATCTTCTCTTCCCTACGGCTTTGGTTCATTGATACACCACTGATATCGAGCAATCATGGGCGTCCAAACCGTTGAGTTTAAGCCCTTCCAAGACCAGAAGCCCGGAACGTATGTCTAGACCTCGACGATCCTCCCTGTTGTGTTCCCCCACTGCCCGGGAGCTGCCGAAGAGGAATTGCTTATTTCTCTTTGACTTCAACCTCAGAGCCTCAGTTTTGTCATTTGATAGAACCTCAACTGACTCATGTCGATAGCTCCGGTCTTCGCAAGAAGGTCACCGTCTTCCAGCAGCCTCACTACAGCGAGGCCTTCATCACTAGCATTCTGCTTTCTATTCCCGAAGGAGTTGAGGGTATGAATCCAATTGCTCTGCAGCACGAGCCATGATCTGACCAACTGCTAGGCTCTTTTCTTGTTATTGGTGGTGACGGCCGATACTGGAACCCCGAGGTCATCCAGCTTATTGCCAAGATTGGTGCCGCCTACGGGGTCAAGAAGCTCGTCATCGGCCAGAACGGCATCCTTTCCACCCCTGCTGCCAGTCATGTCATCCGTCTGCGCAAGGCTACCGGAGGTATCCTCCTGACTGCTAGCCATAACCCTGGCGGTGAGTTCACTGCTCATTCTGCTCTCCCAAACCGAAATCTAACAACCAACAGGTCCCAAAAACGACTTTGGTATCAAGTACAACCTCGCCAACGGTGGCCCCGCCCCCGAATCCGTTACCAACAAGATCTTCGAGTTCTCCAAGACTCTGACTTCATACAAGATTGCCGATATTCCCGATGTCGACATCTCCACCGTTGGTACTCAGACATATGGTGACCTTGAGGTCGAGATTATCGACAGCACCACCGACTACGTTGCTATGCTCAAGGACATCTTCGACTTTGACCTGATCAAGAAGTTCTTTTCCACACACCCCGACTTCAAGGTCCTATTCGATGGTCTCCACGGTGTTACCGGTCCTTACGGAAAGGCTATCTTCGAAGAGGAGCTTGGTTTAAGCAACGCCATCCAGAATTGTGTCCCCAGCCCCGACTTCAACGGTGGCCACCCCGATCCTAACCTCACATACGCCCACTCTCTGGTCGAGGTTGTTGACAAGAACAACATTCCTTTTGGTGCCGCTTCCGATGGTGATGGTGACCGAAACATGATCTATGGCGCCAATGCCTTCGTTTCTCCTGGTGATTCCCTGGCTATCATCGCCCACCACGCCAACCTGATTCCCTACTTCAAGAAAAACGGCGTCAATGGTCTCGCTCGTTCCATGCCCACCAGTGGTGCCGTTGATCTCGTTGCCAAGGCTCAGGGTCTCGACTGCTACGAGGTGCCCACAGGCTGGAAGTTCTTCTGCGCTCTCTTCGACGCCAAGAAGCTGTCCATCTGCGGTGAGGAAAGTTTCGGTACTGGCAGTGATCACATCCGTGAGAAGGATGGTCTATGGGCTGTTATCGCTTGGCTCAACATCATCGCCGGTGTTGGTGTCCAAAACCCTAGCGTCACCCCATCAATTAAGGAGATCCAGAAGGAATTCTGGGGCAAGTACGGTCGTACTTTCTTCACCCGCTACGACTACGAGGATGTCGATTCAGAGGGCGCCAACAAGGTTGTTGGTGAGCTAGAGAAGCTCGTCAACGACTCCAACTTTGTGGGCAGCACCATTGAGGGTGAGTGATTTTGTAATGTCGGTTGACAATCTATTCTAACTTATTTCAGGTCGCAAGGTTACCAAGGCTGGCAACTTCTCTTACACCGATCTTGACGGCTCTGTCGCTTCCAAGCAGGGCCTATATGCCGGCTTCTCTTCCGGTAGTCGAATTGTTGTTCGACTCTCCGGCACTGGTTCATCTGGAGCCACCATTCGCTTGTACATTGAGCAGCACACCGACGACCCCTCTAAATACGAACTGGACGCTCAAGATTTCCTCAAGGAGGAGGTCAAGTTTGCCACAGAGCTTCTCAAGTTTAAGGAGCACGTCGGCCGTGACGAGCCTGACGTCAAGACCTAAACGAGGCGCGGCATGACGGGTGTTGAAATTGGGGAATACAAGAGGTGGATGCAAACACAAGATAATTTTGAGTTTCTGAAATTGCTATCGCGTACAATGCTGTCAAACTGAGCGTTCTTGAAACTACTAACTAAACAATTGGAAAACTGTGGATGTGTGCTGAGGAATAGGGGCACAGTAGCATGAGTTAATGCCACGACATGAAAACATCCCTGCTATCATTGTATGGAAACGTGAGTAGGGCCTGTGAACTCTCAAATGGATGTGATGTATCGTACAATCTGTGGCCCTCGACTTCAACTATATTATTAAAAATAGGGAAATCGTTATTCGTAAATCGTCAAATCGTTGTTCCTCTCGTGGGACGCCGTCGCTAGAAAAAAAACAGGAGGCAAGGTGAAAGGCTACATGTAATGGAACAAGGGGGGAAAACAACTGTTCACAGGAGAAATTATAAGTGTCGAGTTTGTGTCGTACAGGGAACACTGTTGGTGGGTTAGGTTTGTGTCGACTCTGTGGCGGTGCTCTCGTCAATGAGCGCAGGAGAGAATAGCTCTTTGAAACGCTTGGCGGCTGAATATGCATTTTTAGATGGTGGTCTCTTGCGAGAAAGGGCAACGAACCTTCTTCACTCACGAATCGGATCTCGAAAGCTCCTGCACGGTTGACTCGCTGATTTTGCTGCCGGTATTCCTGGCAAAAGACGTAGAGCTGAATGTCAGCAAGTCGAACTCTGGTCTTGCTGACTCTCCTCATCCATTTAGGGGAGGCTGACTGATGTGTGACTGGAGGACAGTAGTTAATCCACTGCCCATGAGACAACTCGGGACTTGAAGCTGGCTTACTGAAAGCTGTCCAGACAGGACATTGGCGTAGGTCACCGTCCCAGACTGCAGCGTGGAGGCGAATACCCTTTGTCACATAGTCCTCATATACAATAAGAGAATGCATGAAACCGTCGTCTACGATTCGACTATTATTATGAGTATGGCTGCGAGGGGGATAATCAGGGTCAATGCTTACGCTTGGAACAGTTTGCGTTCACCCCAAAGAGCGAGGTCTTCATTTGCAACCTGTACTGTAAGACTATTGCGTGTCTTGAAAGACAAAAAGCAGCAGTACACGAGCACCAATTCTAGAAGGTTAGCAACTAAATTTGTCGTTCGCATTTGCTAGTAGCGACATACCTTCCCACGTCATGAAGCAAAGATTGGCCCACATC